AAACAATGTGGGAGAAGGAATTGCTTATGTTGTAAAGCTGCCAATACTAGCATTTCTTTCATCAGCTCCTTTACAAAACAAAAGTAATACATCTACACAAATTCCAACTGTAAAACGTAGAACTCAATTTATGTATTAACATGTAACACCTGTGGCATTCAGTACGTGGGAGAAAAAATGGACAAATTTAATATTCGGCTAAATAACAATCGACCATGGTACAAAACCAACAAAAACTCTCCCCTCACAAGACATCTTCGCTCAAAGAAACATCCTTTTGATAATTTTACTTTCCAAATTATAGAAGTGAACACTAAGTGGGACACCACGGTAAGGGAGAAGAGAAAACTTTTGGATCCACCAGCTCCATACTTTAGAACCTGACGGGCTTAATGAAAAAGACGATAAAAGATACAGGAAGGATGAAAAATAATAAATTATACAGCATCGTCCTTTATATCTCTGTAATATTGGCCAATGGACATTGTAAACTTCTACAACAAATTTTGTAATTAACTAAATAATCTTGGAACTTCATCCAAACTTTGAATTATTTATAAGGCAGCAAAATTCATGTACAATGAGCTGCAAAAGTTTCTATTCTGCATCCGATTTCAATTGGATAGATACATTCTCAATAATGTGTTAAAATTACATTGTTAGGCAATTTATATATATATAATTCGTCTAAACAACAGCCCAACAATGTTAGATCTGTAAATTTGCGGAAGCAAATTTTTTATTCTTCCCTGGCCGGTATTGCTACTGAGATATCGTGGCACCAAATCTCCTTGCACTATGCCCTATATATATATATAAGATCACCAGATGTAACAAAATAAATCTTAATTATTAATTTAATACCAAACAGAAAACAACAAACTTGCGAAAAAGATGGTATACCGCAAACATGAGGTGCAAAAATTTGTACACCATATCCGGATTTCGACAATTAATTTCTCTTCAGTGATGTTAGGAATCAAAATGGTATTATGAAGACCATAAAATTTACCTCAATTTAGGATAGAATCTTGAATTTGAAGATATATAATTAATTACTCTAAATATCAGCACAACAATGTTAAATATGCAAATTTGCGGAAGCAAATTTTTGTTCTTCCCTTGCTGGGATTCGCACTCATGCTATTGAGATATCGAGACAACACCGCCTGCACTGTGTCCAGCGCTCTAGACCACTCGGCCACCTAGACTGAACTAAAAATTCAGCTTTCGGTGGCCTAATGTTACCTTTCCTGGTCAGTAGAATCTAGAGTTGTAACACAGTACATAATATATTAGGCATGAAGATGGAATGGATTTCAGATTAGCTAAATTATCTATCGTAAAGGATCGTAAGATGCAGTCACAGAAATAATACGTCTAAACAAGTAACAACTCTACGACAGATCCATCCATTGGATCACCAGTGAAGGGGATACACGGCTGAAAACGCATATTATATATTATATATATATATCATACTGAAGGATGTCTGTTATCCGAAATATTTTTAGATACTTACATTTATTGTTTCCTTTTTTTAATATTGGTGTTGTTTTGTACACTTTTTTAGGCGTTTATATATGTTTTGTTAAAATATACTTTTCACTGTTTTGGTCTTTTGGAAAATATTGTTTGTGCTGTATTTAGAGAGGTATGTCCAAGACTCGATGTAGTTACGATATCGACAATATCAACGATATCGTATCGATATTGATATTAACTTAAGGATGTACACCTCTGAGGAGCCAAACATTTCTAGAATAAAACTTTTTTTCTTAACCTGATTTTTGGGTTTATAAGACTGTAAAAAAATAATTGGTGAAGAAAAAATCATATGGTGGTGCACTTCTTTTTTTTGCTACGGCCCTTTGAAAGTACCCAATTTTGATGATTTTCCCATTTTTCATCAATTTTTACCCATTTTTGGGCTATTATCGTGAAAAAAATCACAGTTCGACAATTAAACTTTTTTTCATACTTTCAATATAGATGAATTGGACCAATCTGAATAAATTAAATTTTAAAAAACTATAGGTAGGTGTTAATATAAGAAAGTTTTATCATATTTTGATGCTTTTTCGTGTCAAATTTACCATGCTGTCAATTTTGTAGATTTGTGATTTTTCTCTGTTTTAAGAACAGAATGCATATTATTTCAACTTCTTTGTTATAAATGATTGAAAAAATACATATCTAAGAAATTTGAAAAGAAAAAAGTGATATGGGATGTACATGTTTCTGGTAAAATCATTTCTTGTACCCCTCACCCTTTTTCTCAAAATTTTGGCTAAAAAGACTGACTTGATTGGTAATAAAATTTGAGAAATTTATTACTCAAAAACTACTTATTGTAAATACACAATTTTTTCACAGAGTTAAGTTTGATTATGATATTTATTAAATTCATTGCTATTTTCTACTTGTATCGCATGTTTTGAAAATAATTCCAGAACGAGATTTCAACGAGACGGAAACGTCAGAAGAATACATCCTTAATCACTATATACTCCAGTCATCTACTTCACCAGTTGCCCTGGTTCCATCTGTATGTGTCGATATCAATGTTATCGACGATATCGTAACGATATCGATGTTCACGTAATTCCAATAAAACCCCATTTATTTACTTCATAAATAATAGTAAGTTGTGCTGGTTCATCTGTAGGTGTCGATATCAACGATATCGACGATATCCAATCCATATCGACAATTCACTTAATCTGCTTAAAGCATTATAAGGTTCTATTCTTTTCATTATTCCTTAGTAAATGTTGTCGAAATCATCGATATCGACGATATCGAATCGACATCGACATTTCAATTTCCCATGTAATGATGTATCCATTCTTTACTTTGTATAGAATTTACGTTGTGTTCATCTTAAACCATATTAAATATATTGATTTGATTCATCACTTTAAATGCATTTTTTTTATTTGTATACACAATTATTCCTTTGATTATATTGTCAATATCGATTCGATATCGACATTTAAATTCCCTTGTAATGTGTAGCATCCGTTCTTTACTTTGTATAGATTTTACGTTGTATTCATCTTAAACTTGAGTCGATATCGTCGATATTGACGATATCGATTCGATATCGACATTTAAATTTTCCCTTGTAATGTGTTGTTTTGATTCATAACTTTGTATTCATTTCATACAAGAGTCAATAACAACAATATTGATTCAAAATCAGAATTTTTTTTCCGCTTAGGTCATATGTTTATGTCAAAAATTTCTAGTCATTTTCCTCTTAATATGCTTACTTTGTAAACATTTTATGTAAATGTAGATTTTGCTTGTTCATCTCGCAAGATCAGCATTTAAAAATTCCTTTTAAATTTGTTCTTTTTATTTATCTAAAACGTGTTTCCTATATCTTAATTTGTTTCATTTGTACCCATTTATTGCAAGTGTCTTGTCAAAAAATACATATGTAGCATTACAGTTGCTCTTAGCTCGCTTACTTATATGTATGTTAAAGACAAATATTCTACAAATTTAATCTGTCAGTATCAAATTTTAAAGCTGAAACATCTAGTGCTTATTCATTGTGATAGCAATGGTTTAAAGGTAATAACAAATTCCGCTTAAGAAGTTGACGACGAAAATTAACAGTATACTCATAAAGATATTGTTGAGATTAAGACCAATATTTCCCATTACATTCAATCTCCACGTATATGTCTAAAATGCACATATCATCAGTTAAAAATTGAACAAATGTTTTACCAGTTTTCTTTTTTACATGTTTTAGTATAATCGTCGTTTTCAGTTATTGGTATATATTAACAACTCTCTACCTGAGACCAAATGACATAGAAGTTAACAATTATAGGTCACCGTAAGGCCTTAGCAAAACCCACACCGCATAGTAAACTATGAAAGCCCTGCAATAACAAATGTAAAACAATTCAAATGTGAAAACAAACGGCCTAATTAATGTTTAAAACAATAAACATAAACGAACTGATATCGCTTTGGCACACAATTTTACTATTCATATGATGATGCATGTCACTTTAAACGATTTGTAAACAGCCGGCAAAGCACGATCTCCTGGAAGTTCTTAGCGAGTCTAATAATGCTTGTAGACAAAATGCACCTCAAGAATCATATTGATAAATGGTGCAAACAAAATGTGAATCCACACAAATTTGTTGCATTTAACACATTGAATACCGAAGCCTAAGAAAAGACATTTATTTTATTTCAAAATTCAAGCATGCAACAAAGCATATGCCACACGGAAGTCTTAATCTATTCCATTTAACAACGAGGATAAGTTGGTGAAAAATGAAAAGCGGACAAAGTACAAGAACACGATTTAAATTTATAAGCACACAAATTAGTGATATGTTTTACTGTTTCATGTAACAAATATAAGAAGGAATTTATGATCCTAATATCCATGTGAAATTATGTGTTAATAAACAACAAATTCAATTTGTAATATCATATTAAAATGCCTTAGCATCATTTTCATTATTACTTTCATAATTCAAAATGGCCAAATTGTGATTGTGTGTTTGTTTGTCCTGTGTTAGTCTTTATCTCTTGATTGCCCTTCTTTTTTTACTTTCTTGCCATACGATATCGACATCTTGTATGTCTGGGTTTGTCATAGATGTCTTAAGCAAAAGTCGATATCGATTCGATATCGTGTTGACATTGTCGATATCGACAATATCGACATCTGGGTATGTCTTGGTGAGTCATGGATGTTTGAAGCAAATATCGATATCGATTCGATATCGTGTCGACATTGCCAATATCGACGATATCGACATCTAGGTACATCTTGGATATGTTATTTAGACCCCTCTACCAAGAAATTTGTTTTGCATGCACACGTATAAAAATTGCGGTTTTTATCCAACGCAAATATAGGTTTGAACGTTGTTTTCAATTTAGACTTGTATATATATATATATATATATATATATCATATTAGGAAAATATGGTCTTACAAAGGTTTTTATGATTCAACAACATTCATAAAGAACTTTAATAAAAAAATAAAAAATAAGTAAAATAACATTCAGTATGAGAAAAATTCCACAAATATACAAACGTACTCAAACTTAACAATAATACATTTATTTGGATGCAAGTAATAAGATATCTTGTATGGAAATGCCTTTCTATTTGTTCAGATGAGACATTGTGTAGTTCTAGATATGAAAATGTTAAATATAGAGTAATTATAATAGTACAAGTAAGAAATACACTTTCAGTTAGAACGAATAATAGTGTTACATACATAAAAAAATCATATTGCAAACACGAGCCTTTAGTCATTTTCTTTTGATAAAAAATGGATCTTTCATATCATTGTGCAAACTTTTGACGGTGATGGTCCTGACAGCACTGTAAGAAAAAAAAAGAAAAATATCTTTCAAGGTGTTACAGTAATTTTTAGTGAACATTCATTCGGCAGGTGAATTCAGCAAAAGAATGACTGAAATAAACAATACTCCAATTTTATGTTGACAATCATGAAAAAGTTGACGAATATTAATCGTCACAATGATATACATGTTTTCGAGGTTTCTGAAATGAACACATCAGAATAGTTGTTTGATCTCTAGCATTGCCAGTTGTGCACTTTTCCCTATAACATAACATTAGTTGATTCAGTCCATATCTGGCACGGCGAGTGTGTGTGTATGTGTGTGTCAATGATCATTGGCCTTGTTTACCGCAGAATAATCGGACTCTTGAAGTAATATTTTAAAATACCACAACATAGTTGCTTATAAACACAAACAGTATTAACTTCAGTATTGAGACATCATTTTGTTTACATCAGCACATTTCAAGGTCCTTCATTAAAAAAACTGCAAAATATATCATTTTCATTCGAAACTGGATTAATAATGTTTCAACATATGGTAGGAGCAACTTTAAGCCTTGGTTTATTATATGGCTCTCATGATTTAACTTTTTATATACTTTTGACCATTTAATTTAAGATTACCATTTTTATGGGGTTAAATGTTTTTAACCATGATGTCACAATAAAAGCAGATATAATGTCAAGGAAAATACCCTTCCTAGCGTTTTCAGTAAAAAATATATAAGTTTAGATCATTCTTTCGAAAGTTTTTAAACATGCAAGTACCAACTCAATTAATTTTTGTCATATCATATTTATCACGGAAGCGAGACATATCGATCCTTCATTACATTGTTGGCGTCGACAACGGTGGTGGGGTCTAAATTTAGGTGCAGTGTGTGGTGAAGTTTTTTTTTATCCAGCCAGGCAAGTTCTATTGTCACTTTGAATTTTAAGATGGTGTTCAACTTTGTACAGCGCGTTGTCAATATTGGTTCTTCGTTGTTGTTTCGTAATCATTGAATTAACGATGTTGCAACAGATATCAGCATACCAACTGGCGTTCATTTAATAAAGCGACAAATAATGCGACATATTAGATTGGATACCCTAATACAATATCATTTGTGGCAAGAAGGCGATTTTTAAGGCTGAGGCAGAAATATGATATTTTTGTGTATTGTTTTGATTTGTCATCGGTTGCAATAAACTTTGAATTGATTTAAATCCTTCACTTTAAATTTGTCAGTAATGAATTGTTTTTTGTGAATTTTCACAAAAAAAGGACGTATTTTTTTGCAATAAAATGGGGCATGAGCAATCAAAATCATGTTCGCCGATTCGATTCAAATTCTCATTTTTAATTTATAACATACTAAAACGTCTATCCAAATTATAAAAAGTCATTAACAATTAACAATGCAAGGACTCGATATGATTATCGACGTTTGGGGCGTATTTAAGACTAAACGCCATCTAATCAACCATACAGAAGATCGAAAGGGTTCCTCTCGACTACTGCCTTGTTTAACTTTCCAATGTTGACCCGCTCTCCCTTTTAATAACTACTAGTAATTAGAAATAAGAAGATGTAGTATGAGTGCCAATGCGACAACTCTCCATCCAAGTCACAATGTGTAATGAGTAAACAATTATAGGTCAAAGTACGGCCTTCAACACCGAACAGCAAGCTATAAAGGGCCCCAAAATGAATTAACATACTTAACACATGCGTCGCCCATACGGAGTCAAACAATAAGCCAATAATACATCAGCAATGTTTTTTAGCTAAGTTTTATAAAATTAACCAAAACATCTGCTTATTTCACATTTCCGCTTATGAAAATGTTTGATATAAAACAATCGTATTATGATTTTTTGTCAACCTCGCAGCTAATGTGTCTTAAACATTAAGATTGTGACTGGATATAATGTTTTGAGACATCGATAACTTTGGCAACCTTTTTGTAATTTAATCAATCTTTGGAGAAAGCTTTAGGGTTGATTTTTTTTAAATATTTGTTTTTCTCATTTTTTCAGTATTTGGCTGAATGGATACAGCCTGGGATTATTTTTTTTAAATCACGCTTTGCCTCGTTATACCATATGGAGTGTTATGGAAATTTGACAGAAGCTTCTACAAGATCAAGGAATTATTTAAAGACAAAAGTTTGATTCTTTTCGTATTGTAATGATGAATGGACTTAAATATTTGGCAGTCAACATTACAATTTTACACTGAAAGCAACAAAAGCATAAAAGAACACGGTTTTGCGGTGCCCTGAATGATTTTTTTTGAATTAAAATTTTTGTATTTTTTTTTGTACATATTTCGACTTAAATGTGCGTAAAATATTCGTAATATTTCAAAGACATTACAATTTACTTAACAATTACACACTTGACTATTATCTTTAAGCTAAAATTATCTGATTTTGTAATATCTAATTTCTTTGACTGGAAAAAGTTCTTAGCACACCTCCTTCCTACCAATAGTGGACTTTGCATACAGAAAATCTATGTTATTTTGTCAAATATCTCTGCAGATTCATCGGTTGATTGAATAATGGCTGCTCAAGAACTGGCAGTTTTAGGAAATTAAAGTGCGGGAGCGTTGAAAAGGGTAGTTGCCGACTACTATATATTTACTTGTAACAACAACCCACACTGACAGTGCATAAGCTAAGAACCTTTATTGGGGGCACAACTAATTTTTCTACTAAAAACCTTAATGCAACTTTTACCATTTTTTGGGGAAAAAAAAGAGGCGAAAGATACCAAAGGGACTACAAGTCAAAAATAAACTGACAACGCCTTGACAAAAACAAAATAAGACAAACAAACAGCAGTCCACAAAACACAACATTGAAAACTAAAGACTGAAATCATCTCTTTTGTAGCAAAGTTTTGTTCTCAACCGACCCTTACTGTCAATTTCTAGATGTAAGTCAAGATATGAGGCAGACTTAATTGTATCTGTGTATCCTTTATCTCAAATTCGATGGGACAGATGCGTTCAACAAAGTCATCAAATTTTGAATTATTAAGTGAAAGAACATCATCTATATAGCGGAAAGTAAAGTTAAAGGATACTGCTAACTTCTTTTCTTTCTTTCTAAGAAGTTCCTATATGAAGTCAGCTTCATATGAATAACTGGGATAATTTAATTGGGAAATTTTAATGAATCTATAATTTAAAAGACGTTCTTTGTTAGATCATGTTAGATCACATTTCCCAAATTTTACTGATAAAACACTGAGATAAGTACACACTTTAGCCTACCAGTACTTAAAACTTGGTACAAAATATCACATGATTTGTACCTACTTATGAAAATGCAAAAGAAATTTCTATTTTTAAAATATGTAGCAATTTGGAGGTATATGGTAATCAGGAATTAGATAAGTAAACAAAATATGTTACACAGTAAAACTGACCAAAATGACAAAAGGTACCAAATATCAAAAAGCTCTGATTTGTTGCTACGGTGATAAACCAGTATAGTCCTTTCTATTAAAACGAGGTATAATAAAAAAGGGTTATACAAGAAGTTTCAATAGAGTTAAATTTATGGTACCTAAACACTTATACAGTAGATTTCATGTGAACAAATGTAAATAAACTTACTTTTTCATTTTCTTCCTGTATATTATCAGAACTACTATTGTAATCAATACTACTAATACCAGAAATCCACTAAATGCATACACGTATATCACTGAAATATAAATCTTTACAGTTAGACAACGGTCATGATCAGCTCTTCTATAACTAACAAAGATATACATTATAAGAAGTGCATCTAAGTTCATTGAAATATAAGTTTTACATCTGTTTGATCTACATGTTTCAATAAGGTCTCTGACAAAAATGAAAAATTATAATAAATTATCAAAATGTAATCGTCCAAAAAAGTATTTAAAAACACCGACTCCAAGGTTAATTGAGAAATCGGAAATTCATTTAAAACCACCAACCAACGGAAAGAACGAAAAAAAAACTTGGTACAGGCATTTTCTTAAACAATATTATGGGTTAAACCTGATTTGAAATTTAAAGCAAAGATTGTTTATAAGTATTAAAGTGAGATCAGTCAAATGCAACAAACTAGCTACGAATCGAAGGCGGACATCAAAACTACAATGAACTCAATCAGTATTTGCACGACGCTTGTAAGCCAGTAGAGCTGACAGAAGAGTAATGAGCCCCTCCCAATAAAAAATAAAGCATTCAACATGCATACATTGACGTTTGGTTAGAAGTAATATTAGGAGTAAGTCTATCTATTAATGCAACTCAATTCAATGAATTAATTTATCTAAATTTGTTTTATTTATATTCCTGATAGAGAGGCATTGGATATGAACAAGTTTAGATAGTATTTAAGTATAACTCCTCTCTGTCCCTTTCAAATAGATATCTTTTCCCACAATGACTAGGACCAAATTCACTTTCATGGAGCATGTCTTACATGAGTTTGTATAATGGACAAAAAAATGAGAAAGGGTTAAAAACGAAATGTCCGATCTGCTAAAGAGCAATTTTCCGGACTCAAATTTGATCGACGATTCAATTTCAGTAATCAAAAAAAGATCTTATACTTTTTAAAAATACGGAAGTTTGTAAAGATTGTAAAAAGTGCAGATATCTTCAAAAGTATACTGAACCAGAGCTTCTAAGTTCATTGAAATATAGATTTTAAATCTGTTCGAACTACATGTTTTAATAGGTTCTCTGAAAGTTAGAAAGAAAATAAAAAACATGAAAAATAACGCTACTTTGTTAGTAAACCCAACTTTTGTCAAAATACACAAATTGAAGTTATCTTCATCCGGAAATCCCGAAGAACACAAGTTTGGAAGGTTGAATTTTGAACAAAAGAATCCAATTAGATCGATTAAGATTAACCAATGCAAAATGTGCTAAATAGAGTTGTTTCAATAGTTTAATAAAAAAATTAAATCGTTTATAAAATGAAAATTTGCCTGAAGGATGCATCATTTAAAACATGCAATTAAAAAAAATACATTCAGGTGGATAGTAAACTCGAAGACCGGACGTCCACCTGCAGTTGCATGGACCTAGTGGTAGGCAATTACATCTAGAAGTTAGTACCAAAGACAGAAGTATGATAAAAAAAAAATTATCAATGTCAGATTTATAGAAGTGGACATATGGAGTCGATCTATTACGGGAAGCGATCTAGGTGTGTCCTGTCTCTGTAGTATCATAAATTTCAAATTCATACGTATTATAGAATTGAATATGTTTATTTTCAAATTTACACAAAATTAATGCAAGCGACGATCACATTTAGCATGAAGCGTGAAAGCTAAAAATTTGATCAACACCTGATTTCATTTCGTACAAACAAAGCATTCATTTTTTATATTTACAGATCTTGGAAAAAATATATATGTAATAATTTTATTAGAAATACATGTAATAATTTTATTAGAACTATATATGTAATAATTAAAGTAAAACTTAACACAAAATAATACTATATGCGCCTCTCATGATTTACCTTCATTAGAATGCTCAATCCCGATTTGAAAGCCAGGGATGTAAAAGTACATAAATACGGGAGTAGCTATATGACCAAAATGGACTCAAATAGGGGAACCAAAGGTGGTATAACCCAAAACTATTAAGTCATGTGCAAAATCTAGCTAGATCATATGTTTTTTTTATGTCTATTTTGCTTTTGGAAGAGTCAGTCTTACTGTCGCATAATGCATGCTTTGCAATCGATAAGAACACAAGATATTCTATATAAATTTGCTGAAATTAATACTTGTCTAAACTCACAATTAAAAGTAAGTGTTGTTTCTGTTGTTGCGTTTGTATTTGTTGCTTCTACTGTTGTCACATCATTTATCTTTTCCATGGTTGTTGTTTCAATGGGTTCTGTGGCAAATGTCATATGTGCTTGTGTAGAATCTTCCCCATCATTTGTTGCGATAGCAACAGTTGCTGTCTCAGTTGTTTTGACGGTTGTTGTGGTCATTGGAGTGGTTGTCAGTGCTGCTGTTGTCATTTTGTTTGTTGTCACACTATCTGTTGTAGCTTTGGAGCAGAAATAATAAAAATATTTCATCTTTTAACCCATATCTATAGAACAAATAAATAATCTCGGAATTACATTTCCTAATGTCTTCTTCTGGATCTGATTTGAAGTTATTTGTTAAAATGATAAATAATATCATCATAAGCTTTGAATTAAAAGATACTCCATTTGAGAAAAAGGGAAAAAGGAACCCGTAAAAAATGCAGAATTCAACCAAAAGTCAACGTCATGAAGAATCAGAACCTAATTTTCTCTTTTATTTCTAAATCTACCACCGAACAATGTAAGAACGGTATGTTTTGAATCATGTCAGAGGCACATACTACTGAGCTAATGATAACAATGGGAACTTACAGTCCACTATGGCATGGTATTGGTTGCAAAAATTTGATATTTTTCATTTAAATGCAATATTTCTTATTTAATTGGTATATTTCTTCATTTAAATGCAATATTTTTTTATTTGAATGGTATATTTTTTCATTTAAATGCAATATTTTTTATTCAAATGGTATAATTTTTCATTCAAATGGTATAATTTTTCATTCAAATGGTATAATTTTTCATTCAAATGGTATAATTTTTATTCAAATGCAATAGTTTTTATTCATTAGGTATAAAATGTCATTTGAATGCAATATTTTTTATTCAATTGATATAGTAGTTTTTTATTTATATGCAATAATTGCATTATGGGAAATTCTTTGACGCCATAAGGTCAAATTTGCAACAACGTTTGTGATTGGTCGGAAATTGTTTGGATTTCTCCCCTTTCTTTCTAAACATGGGTGACCAAGAATTAAAAAATGCGTCAGAATATCGCCCCTCTAACTAAATCTAACGTTCGTGCGAGTCCTGCACTGGCTGTTAAAGTCTTGTGGTCATAACTAGTATTTCTATTGCAAAATTTCGATGGTCAAAACGTTCGGTCCACTTTTCAAAAACCGTTTCATTGTATATGGATTTATATGCAAGTATATCGTTTTTTTTTAAATAGATTAGACACTGTTGGTTTTCCCGTTTGAATGGTTTTACACTACTAATTTTTTGGGGGCCCTTTATAGCTTGCTGTTCGTTTTGAGCCAAGGCTCCGTGTTGAAGACCGTACGTTGACCTTTAATGGTTTACATTTACAAATTATGACTTGGATGGAGAGTTGTCTCATCGACACTCATACCACATCTTCTTATATCTATATACAACGTAAACAAGACGTTTCTCAGACTGTTTTCTTTTTTTAATAAATCCTTTGCCGCGCGTTGTGTACTGATTGATAACTCAGTCTGGGAGAACAAGATTTATTTCAATACCAGTTGTAATTAGGTTTGAGCAAACTTCCAGTAATTGCAAATAATGACTAGGACCAAATTCACTTTCATGGAGCATGTCTTACATGAGTTTGTATAATGGACAAAAAAATGAGAAAGGGTTAAAAATGAAATGTCCGATCTGCTAAAGAGCAATTTTCCGGACTCAAATTTGATCGACGATTCAATTTCAGTAATCAAAAAAAGATCTTATACTTTTTAAAAATACGGAAGTTTGTAAAGATTGTAAAAAGTGCAGCTATCTTCAAAAGTATACTGAACCAGAGCTTCTTAGTTCATTGAAATATAGATTTTAAATCTGTTCTAACTACATGTTTTAATAGGTTCTCTGAAAGTTAGAAAGAAAATAAAAAACATGAAAAATAACGCTACTTTGTTAGTAAACCCAACTTTTGTCAAAATACACAAATTGAAGTTATCTTCATCCGGAAATCCCGAAGAACACAAGTTTGGAAGGTTGAATTTTGAACAAAAGAATCCAATTAGATCGATTAAGATTAACCAATGCAAAATGTGCTAAATAGAGTTGTTTCAATAGTTTAATAAAAAAATTAAATCGTTTATAAAATGAAAATTTGCCTGAAGGATGCATCATTTAAAACATGCAATTAAAAAAAATACATTCAGGTGGATAGTAAACTCGAAGACCGGACGTCCACCTGCAGTTGCATGGACCTAGTGGTAGGCAATTACATCTAGAAGTTAGTACCAAAGACAGAAGTATGATAAAAAAAAAATTATCAATGTCAGATTTATAGAAGTGGACATATGGAGTCGATCTATTACGGGAAGCGATCTAGGTGTGTCCTGTCTCTGTAGTATCATAAATTTCAAATTCATACGTATTATAGAATTGAATATGTTTATTTTCAAATTTACACAAAATTAATGCAAGCGACGATCACATTTAGCATGAAGCGTGAAAGCTAAAAATTTGATCAACACCTGATTTCATTTCGTACAAACAAAGCATTCATTTTTTATATTTACAGATCTTGGAAAAAATATATATGTAATAATTTTATTAGAAATACATGTAATAATTTTATTAGAACTATATATGTAATAATTAAAGTAAAACTTAACACAAAATAATACTATATGCGCCTCTCATGATTTACCTTCATTAGAATGCTCAATCCCGATTTGAAAGCCAGGGATGTAAAAGTACATAAATACGGGAGTAGCTATATGACCAAAATGGACTCAAATAGGGGAACCAAAGGTGGTATAACCCAAAACTATTAAGTCATGTGCAAAATCTAGCTAGATCATATGTTTTTTTTATGTCTATTTTGCTTTTGGAAGAGTCAGTCTTACTGTCGCATAATGCATGCTTTGCAATCGATAAGAACACAAGATATTCTATATAAATTTGCTGAAATTAATACTTGTCTAAACTCACAATTAAAAGTAAGTGTTGTTTCTGTTGTTGCGTTTGTATTTGTTGCTTCTACTGTTGTCACATCATTTATCTTTTCTATGGTTGTTGTTTCAATGGGTTCTGTGGCAAATGTCATATGTGCTTGTGTAGAATCTTCCCCATCATTTGTTGCGATAGCAACAGTTGCTGTCTCAGTTGTTTTGACGGTTGTTGTGGTCATTGGAGTGGTTGTCAGTGCTGCTGTTGTCATTTTGTTTGTTGTCACACTATCTGTTGTAGCTTTGGAGCAGAAATAATAAAAATATTTCATCTTTTAACCCATATCTATAGAACAAATAAATAATCTCGGAATTACATTTCCTAATGTCTTCTTCTGGATCTGATTGATCTAATCGATGGTCAAAACGTTCGGTCCACTTTTCAAAAACCGTTTCATTGTATATGGATTTATATGCAAGTATATCGTTTTTTTTTAAATAGATTAGACACTGTTGGTTTTCCCGTTTGAATGGTTTTACACTACTAATTTTTTGGGGGCCCTTTATAGCTTGCTGTTCGTTTTGAGCCAAGGCTCCGTGTTGAAGACCGTACGTTGACCTTTAATGGTTTACATTTACAAATTATGACTTGGACGGAGAGTTGTCTCATCGGCACTCATACCACATCTTCTTATATCTATATACAACGTAAACAAGACGTTTCTCAGACTGTTTTCTTTTTTTAATAAATCCTTTGCCGCGCGTTGTGTACTGATTGATAACTCAGTCTGGGAGAACAAGATTTATTTCAATACCAGTTGTAATTAGGTTTGAGCAAACTTCCAGTAATTGCAAATACTCTTATGTCGGTGCTTTGTGTCTATTGTCTTAATGTTAGTTTTTTTGGGTGTCTCGTACCGATCTTTTGAGTTAATTTGCTGATTTGTGCAGGTTGTTATTTTATTGTACTGTTACACCACTGTCCCAGCTTCGGGATGGGTTGCTCACAAACATGTTGTTGTACTGTTACACCGCTGTCCCAGATTAGGGGAGGATTGGGATCCCGCTAACATGTTTAACCCCGCCACATTCTGTATGTATGTGCTTGTCCCAAGTCAGGAGCCTGTAATTCAGTGGTTGCCGTTTGTTGCTTTGTTATACATATTTGTGTTTCGTTCATTTTTTTGTATATTAATTCGGCCGTTAGTTTTCTCGATTGAATTGTTTTACATTTTTGATTTCGGGGCCTTTTATAGCTGACTATGCGGTGTAGGCTTTGCTTATTGTCGAAGGCCGTACGGTGATTTATAGCTGTTGATTTCTGTGTCATTTGATCTCTTGTGGAGAGTTGTCTCATTTGCACTCATACCACATCTTCGTTTTTATATCCACCCTGCCATATTCTTTATTTGCCTGTCCCAGGGATGGAGCCTGTAGTTTAGTGGTTGTCGTTGTTTCCTGTCTCGACTCATATTTGATATTTTGTAAATTGTTTTGTTATGTATAATTTGGCTGTTAGTTTTTTCGTTTGAATTGTTCACACTTTTCATGTCGGGCCTTTTATAGACGACTTTACAGTATCAGGTTTTTGTCATTGTTGAAGGCCTTACGATTGTCTACAAAAAAGCATTTGTCTACATGACGGCAAAAAGCTCTACAGAGCTTATGTTTGTAGTATTTCATGTAACCCGACTGAAAATAATTTTTTCTTATTTTATCTTATCTTATCTATAATTGCTTACATACACTTCATATTTGAACTCCGGTGGATAGTTGCCTTATTAGCAATCATATTTCATATCTTCATTTTTATATTATATACGTGACTTCTAAACTCGTGTTTTCCTGAACAAGCATGAAATAGTTTTCACTGGGCGTTAAAATTAGCAACAAACAATCAATCAATTTAAACTTGTGGTAAATAAGAGGAAAACCATTTGATATTTATTTTATGTTGGGGTGGGGGACAGAAGGATTTCATATATGAATATGGTTGCCTGGTAAGAGCTGAAAATAGGCATGATTAGCGACAGATTGAAATGAATAATAATGCTCTCTCTTCCCTTCCCCATCCTTCATCTATAAATTTCAACTGACCACCACAGAATAGCCCAATAGTGTTGAAAGTAGCGTTAAACACCAATCAATCAAAATCCCTTCCCTAGAATATCAAATAATCGTCCCTTAACTGTTATTGTCCGTGTAGTTCTTATATTTATCCAGCTTATCGTCCTACAGGGATGTCCTACTAAGGCTGTCATACCATAAAAACGTTTATAAAACAGCTCACATTCTAATATATCTGCATTCATAAATTTATCAATTTCATTTAGACTAAACGACGCCATGTTTGTTATGTGCCTCTGCCGTCAACCTATCAAAAAAAGAAGAGGTGGAAGAGAGCCAGAAGATCTTCCCAATGCAAAAAAAAAAAACAGAAATGGACTTCTTCTGGCTCACTTCCGAAGAACAAAAAAAAACAAAACGCGCCCCATTGATATGTTTTAAAAATGCCTTGCCCCTACCCTTTTTTCCAAAAAAATGGCATTATTAAATATATAAACATATATTTAATCATCAAAATTAAAATTCTATTGTATTTTTATAAGACCTACTTTATTACATGACCTGGGACTAATGACATCTATCTATAAGTCCTAGCATACATTTATTATTATAATATGAATATGTTTCTTGTTTTAATAACCACATATGATGCTATGCATTAGTCACCATTTATCAGGACATGCATTGGGTTTACATAGAGAGGATAATGGACGACATCAGAAAATCAATGAAGGATAAAAAATTTAATTCAAATAGTTTCGGGGGGAGGGGGGGGGGGGTCAAAATTGCTGCAAGTTTTGTTTAATTAACATCGATTTTATGTATATCCTTATTGGTCAATCAATTTTTCCCAAATTAAGTTAAGAAGGGGGGGGGGGGGGGGAGGGGGGGGGGGGGGTTAGGGGGTCAGTGAAAAAAACTATATAAATTAAGTTTTTTTTATCCTACATTGAACTTTTGATGTCGTCCCTAATGTGCAAAAAATAGATAAGGGGCGGGACCAAACCTATAGATAACATAATAAAGAAATGATGAAATATACAGAATACGTTGATTGACTTTTGGTTGCCTTATGTCCAGTGGCAAATATGTCACACATGTTTAGGACAAATATAATAAAGGATAAAGAATAGAGTGAAATGGTAAAAACTAAAAGATATAGAATTATAGAAACGATTTTTGATCTGAAACCCCTACCCTCACACACACACCATAACCATTACTGCCAATACTCGCATATATATTCATCTCTATACAAATATCTAAATTTGAACCTATTTTTATTTCAATGTGTAGACTGTAGGAGAGTTTCTTCAGAAAAGTTTTTCATTGGAGGTGTTTTTGCCAAGCACGCAGGCATCTGTTTCTATCCATGAACAAGTTGTGTGTCAAATTAATTATTATTACTTGTCACTCGCATTTTTTGCTCGTCCTGGCCATTATTGACATTAACAGCCAGTGCACGAACTCGCACGAACGCCAAATTTAGTTAGAGGGGCGATATTCTGACGCGTTTTTTAATTCTTGGTCACTCAAGTTTAGAAAGAAAGGGGAGAAATCCAAACAATTACCGACCAATCACAAACGTTGTTGCAAATTTGACCTTATGACGTCAAAGAATTTCCCATAATGCAATTATTGCATATAAATAAACAAACTACTATACCAATTGAATAAAAAATATTGCATTCAAATGACATTCTATACCAATTGAATAAAAAATATTGCATTTGAACGAAAATTATACCATTTGAATGAAAAATTATACCATTTGAATGAAAAATTATACCATCTGAATAAAAAAATATTGCATTTAAATGAAAAAATATACCATTCAAATAAAAAAATATTGCATTTAAATGAAAAATATCAAATTTTTGCAACCAATACCATGCCATAGTCCACCAGCACTTCGTTTGTTTCTTAATAATTTATTAACCGGCATATATACGAGTGTTTTCTACTGGTGTAAGTAAATATTGCTAGTTGTGATCGATTCATTGTTTATTTTCATCTTTTCATTTTACATTTGCCGTACAAAAGGTTTATCTATATACTAGAATTCAATGCATCAAACATATATAAAATATTCAAAATAAAGATTAAAGGTTTTACTTCAATACTTTCTTTAACCTATGTTTAACAGTTAAATTATAGTATAACAGCTGCATGCATGCATGCATGCATATAATCAGTTGCAAAAAGTCCTCAATTACAAAAGTAGCTTTCCTGATGATATAATAAATACACATTTATGTGTTTATAAATTTTAGCATAATTTGTAACTTTATTATACAAAGGAGTAGACCCGGTAAGACCCCTTTTTGGCCCCAAAATATAGTATTTCCAAAATTTGATAAAAATGTAATACGTGTTGTTTTCAATTTTTTAGCTATTTATTGGAAAGAAAAATACTTTTGTTACATAAATATGGGCTTGTTTTTTGACATTACACTGCACATGCGTCAGGTTCTAGCATGATTAATTCGTGCAAAATCACTGAAATCTTCACAATTTTAGCATTTGTGCTTATTTTTAGAAGGTTTTTGTCAAAAATGGAAGTGGCCGCACGTGTGTTCAGTCTTAATATTTAAATATATGTTGGATTTGATGATGATACATAACATATATAAAGGTTGAGCATGACACGAATGCTGCCATTTCAGACAAAAAAAAAGAACATCTGAAAAGTGACGTTTGTGGCATTTTGATAGGTTTTTCATATCTAAGCTAGAATTAAGGCGTCTTTAATGACCAAACCAGTTCAAATCTTTTACATAAACTTATTGAATCGACTGAAGAAGACACTTAAGTGTGTTTTGAAAAATGTCAAAAATCTTTCATCAGATGAACTTCTAATTTTAGGCCAAAATCAGCCCTTACCAGGCCTTCTCCTTTCTCATTATGTTAACTATCTAATAAAAAATATCACACTATATTCTTTCAGATTCATAAATTCATCTAGATTTTGATATCGGCATTAATTGTGCTGTCAACATCCAACCTGACGTCAATAACGAAGACGATTGCAAATAACTGGGTGTAAGTAATTGATATGAAAAAAAGCCTTTTGTTAATCTGTTAAGATATGTACAAGGACACAATAAATCGATTTAAGAGTAAAATATCAGATAGTAGACAAATAGAAGGATATGCATCAGTAGTTAATTATGCTAATAAAACTCACTGGTGATGGGCACAGAATAAACATACTTCATTCCAGTATTACTGTTCGATGCAAAACTGTACACCTGTTTATAAAAAGAAATGCGATTTACTGTTTTAGATGCACAGGAGAATTATAACAGAATAACACACTTATTATTAGGAAAGTGCTGTTTCTGTCGGTTTTATTTTTGTCACGTAATACTTTTGTGTCATGAATGATTTCGACAAGCCTTTTGGAATTATACGTTTTGATCAAAAATAAAAATGGGAAAGGAAAACCTTATTTTTGTTTTCATAGAATTTGAAGAACATGTTAAAAGCTGACACTGCCACCTGATGCTCCCGGAACTGCACAGTTTTATTTCAAGGGTTCAAAATACAAGTATGCTAGGAGTGACAAATAAACATTATTGTTCAATGTTCACCTGTATAAATGTGTAACAATTCATTTTACAAACCTTCACTATCACCGGATGTGTCAATGGTCCTTCGGCATGCATTATCGCAACATAAGCATCATTATGCCACAGAGTTCCGCCATAACTGACCGGACTGTCTTTAGTTTGAAATATTCTTGAATCACCGCCTATGCTGCTTGTTATAATTGGATCCCCTTCTTCAGTAAATATTTCTGAAATGATGAAACGATACTCTATTCCTCAAAATGATCTTTTGATTTGTTTTCCTCAATACCTTAAAGGTAAATTCGATGTCTAAAAAACGTCTTTCGGAATAGACTGTTGGTTTTCTCATTCGATTGGTTCATATTTTTCATTCCGAGCCCTTTATGTACTTTATTTACTTTGGTTTGTTCAAACAACCATTGGTCACTGTACGGCCTTCAACAATGAGAAAACTTACATCGCATAGTACGCTGTTGGCAAATGTAAAACATGTCAAACGAGAAAACTAACGGCCTGATTTATGTACAAAATAATAAACGAAAACAAATATGATATATAGCAACAAACGACAACCACTGTATTACAGGCTCCTTACTTGGAACAGGCACATACAAAATGTGGCAGGGTTAAACATATCTGAAGGCAGACACCCGCCCCTAATCTGGGACAATGCAGTAACGGCACAACACAAGAACACACTATACAAAACAATAAACGAAAAATACCTGGGACAGTGGTGTAACAGTACAAGATGTTGCAGCTTAATCAAAACTGTATATATGAATACATGTGATAGAAACGAATATACTGTTCCGGCAGTGCTAAGCTAAACGACACCGTTGGTTAACATGTTACCTGTATAATACTGCTTCATATCGTTCCATACAAATGATATTTCAATGTTATATGCACCAACAGGAATTTGTGTCCACTCTATTCGTGTCCCTATATAAAATACATATATTTTTCAAAAAATCATTTCATAATGCAAGAGAAAAGACATTGAACATTTTCACGGGTTAGAAATTGTCATTTGCGGACTGCCCATTTTTAGTTGCTATTAACGTTTTTGCTAGTAACATCTTTACTGAAAAATAACTATCTGCGTCCTTAAAAATGATATATGATCACGCAGGAAGTATTTAAGTTGTTTAAAATAAAGAAATGTCTATTTATAAAATAATATCAATTGAGTAAATACAAAAACATTTAAATGTAACGCTGCATGAAGTTGATTTGCTACATAGAAATTTTATTTTTGATAGGAATGGGTAACAAATTTCAAAATTATAAATTTCGACTATAATAATAATAAAAATGCAAAAGTAAATAAAAGGTATGCAAGAACAAGTCAGCAAATGTGAAAGACAAACTTTAAAGTTAAAAAACTACCAACTTTCAATAACACTTGATCCTGTGATGACCTATTCATCTTTTGTGTGCTTTCAAGTAGCTTTACCTTTTAATTGTGTATCTAATTCCTATAGTCACGTGAAAAAAATTATTTAACTGCTTACATTGATGCGCATTTTTTGTATAATATAGTAATATTTTTTGTGTTAAAAACACCTGTCGCTATTATTTAACTAATGTAAAAGTACACAGAAAAAACATTGCAATACGTGTCTCATCCTCATCATATAGTAGCCAGAACAAACAATGTAATAAGTGTCTTATCCTGACCATAAAGTACTCAGAACAAACAATGTAATAAGTGTCTCATCCTACTATATACAATCCTTAAATGAAGCATTTCATATGTTTGAAAATACATTACAAATTACAAACATATATTAATATTTACATTGCGCCACATCATCAGTAAAAGTTCCTTCTCGGATTAAACATGTACTATTGTCACCATTACACACGCCACATCCATCAAATACACCAGAATTAAGTGTATTGGAACAGTCGAATCTCTACAAGATAAACACAACAACATATAATTAACATGGTTCTAATTTGCTGAAATATATCTCCCCTCCTTTCCCCCGAATAATGAGCGTGTGACACAGGATTTCTTCAAACAAATAGGGTGCATATGGCAAATTCTGTGTTGAATTCAAATAACCAAGACATAATGTGTTTTACGTTATTGTCTAACAAATGTCTTCGTTCTATCAAACCCTTTTTACCCTATAAATTGCTCAAATAATACGCTTCATCTTCTTGACATAGCATCAACTTTCAGTTCTCAAATGCTTTTCGAAGGTTGCAACTAGAAGAGTGTGAACTGCTTATAGACTACTACTTAAGCGGTTGCTAAGTCTTTACTTTCTATGCACTTAGGGTTGTAGAATTAATTTTTCTTTCGTTTTTATGTTATCTGTCATTCTTTGACATGTATTACTGACTCTTTGAATTTTGTTATATTTTGATCCCTTCTTTATACTGTTTACTTTTCGCTACTTTTATCTCCCATAATATTCAAACATTCCTTAACACTATGCATTACCTGACAATAACCCTCTAAGCAAGCAGAATAAAACCCTGGGCGTCGGGAATATTGATTCGCATCAGCTGTATCTAAGGTTCCAGGACACGGCGTACCATTTTCTATCAATCCAAATCTTGTAAAATCAGGTCTGGTATACCCGGGAGTTGATTCACAAAAAACTTCACATACACCATGGTCTAAAAAAATATCGAATTTGTTTTAAGGCAGCAACGACAAAAAACACAAATACAAAAGACTTGTATACGTAAACATAAAGTTGGCTATACAATACATCAAGCTTCAAACCGTCCGAACTAAAAAAGAATGTTATAAATATATCATAACTCTCAATCATCTGTCATCAACATCAGACTCCCTAAATACTAAAAAAAAAAACAACACATTATCATATGACGAACCTTAACGATGTTCTTGACTTGGAAACGGCACATGAACATGTAACGGAGTTAAATTTTGTTTGGGAAATTTCAAGCCTCCGTTGTTAGTTTTATCCAGCTGACCTACAGTCGTTTCCGTACTCATGGTTTGTTTTTTCTTTTTGGTGAGGGCATAGTTTTATTTTTAAAAATTCAAAAAAAAAGAACCTACAATAAATTATGTACAGGATATCTTTACTGGGATAGTATGTAACTCTAACGCGTAACGGTATAATAAATTGCAAAAAAAACCCCAAACCAAACCAAACCAAACCAAACAATAAGCAAAACATGTTGTCGTGCTAATCATTAATCATATCCCTCTCGCAATTCAAAGTATGACAAAGCAGGAATTAACAAAATATGTTAAGTGCATTAAACATATTGAAAAATTCAAAGTATAGTCAAACAGGAAGTATGTATCTGACAAAACCGAAAAGTTATCACACAGTACAGCTCATCACTGTTGAATTGCTGATTCAATATGTCGTCATTTCGTTTAGTAGTTTTAAGAAAAGTTTGATAACATATTTAAGTTCATTCATCAAATTAGAATAATAAAAAAAAAGATGGAACAAGTCATTCTTTTCAGTAGTTTTTGAGAAAAGTGCGATAGAAATATCTTTTGGACGAACGGACGAACAAACAAGGTGATCACAATATAGCTCGCTTTTATTTGACTAGACGTTTCAAATTATACCGTATTTTTCTTCATTTGGTCACCAATAAAAATTCTGGAAAAAAACTGTGTATTTTTCAGTAAGACAGATGAAATTGTTGATTTTATTTGATACAGTATTAGTATCGGAAACAATTCAGAATATCACGACTACCTGAATAATTACAAGCTGGTGTATATCAGAGCGCTGAAACCTATACCGTGCATTATCAGTGATGGGGAACTTAGCAAACCAGACATCCACGAAAGTATGTGTTTCGACCGAAAAATTGGTATTTGTTTTTATATCTGATACATAGGAAGATATTTCTTAAAGATATCGATATATCGTTGATATACAATTTAACTACAGTAAGTAAACATGAAAGGAGTTAAATATTTTTCTACATACTTAATGATGAGTAAATAGTTCCTGAAGCTGTATATTCTGTTTCATTAATGATGTTGTTATCAATTAGTCTTTGGCATGTCTCGTTTGCTCTTTGTATTATAAGAATAGAATCTGTGCTACTGTCCCCATCGCATGGCTGAAAAAATTACGAAAATGATGAAGACAAAATGTGAAGGATTGTTTACCTATTTTGATGATCACCATTTGTACCATTGCGCTGCCAATAAAACCTTGAGTTTTTTTTTCTACCTAATATATCTTTAAATTTACAGACCAATTTCAGAGTTAAATCGATTAAAGCACACTGTGTTTTTTTATTTGTTAATAAGCCTATTTCTAAATCATATGCAGATCAACTGGCATGTTGAATATACACTTCTGGAGCACATGCAATCACCAACAGGTTTTGGTGTGGTTTGCGTTGATCAGTCTTTAGTTTTCTATCTAGTGTTTTGTAAATTGTTGTTTGTCGTTTTTTGGTTCCTGCCATTGTTTTGTCGGTCTTTGACTAATGAACATTTAGTATCCTTTTGGTATCAACTGCCTCTTTTGGTTAATGATACAAAGAAAGTAAATCCAACACTGTAATAATGTGATGAGTCCATTATCATGTAAAGATTATAGGAAAATTTTCAAAACAAATTATAAAATAGCAATAACTACCGTAAGACTGCAGCCTTGAGCTTCGTATTCGTTTCCCTCGCAATTTGCACTGTTTTTTGGACTAAAGTATTAAACAAAAAGATTTACTAATGATTCACTAATCAGTAAAGTAAAGTATAAGTTGAGATCTGTAAAATATGGCTGTATAATAATTTGTGTCACAATCGTTTATCTCTGTTTTGTTGTTATACTTATTGAGAAAATATGTGACTAAGCCATTATATTTAGGTTCATTTTAAAATTTCTAAAACGTTGTCTGTTTGAGACTTCAGAAATCATACCAGATCTCCACGGGGTTTGTTAAAGTTCCTCAAAGATAGTTCAAGTAATCTACAATATCTGTTGAATTTTACACACATCTTTTTTATATTCGTGATTTAGTGATCAAATTTTAGTCATGGATGCCTGTGTATCATTAAAACCCAGTTAGTTTGAACATGTTTTGAAATTGGCATTGAATACTAATGAAAATCGTCGACATAACCAATGTGAAGTGTAAAATACAGTAAGTTAGTAAATAAGTTAAATGTTTATTCTAATAGCATGGAAAATATCAGTGTGCCATAAAGATATGTTTCAAAAACAACAAATTATATCAAAGTCATAAGTCACTTTCAAAATCACATAATATCCTTAATTTCTTGTAAAACATATATTTATCAACATCTTTAAAATAAGAAATTACAATTAAAAAAACCTACGTTGGGTTATTACATATTCTTCGTCTGTAAATCATTCCTCGTCCACATGTCCGGGAACAGGTCGTCCAGGTTTCCCAATCTGACCACCCACCTACCCGCACTTCAGGATTAGTTAATTGAGCTTCAGACCAATCAGCACACCCACCGCGAAAGCAGATCTAAGTAAAGATTCAATTGAATATGACACAATTATTAAAGCTTGTATATGATTAAAAACAAAACCTTAGTAACATTGTGTGGTAAAGTTCGTGTTAATGACAAAGTCAAGCTGAAAAAAGAACTACAGTTCCAGGAATAAAAGCGATATAGCAATAAGTGGTTATTTCTTATGTTGATTTTCTTGTCTCGTAAGAATTTTCTTTGGAGATCTACATTTCCTTTACTGGTCAATTTGTTGGAATTGCAGTGCACCCAACAGTTTTGTCTATGACAGAACAGACGACGGATATTTTCATTTGTCGTAGCCACAATTTCAACCCTTCTCTCGATAAATAGTTCAATTTGTTTTTTGTCCTTTTTGATTTATCAACTCTTCAATATTTGAACAAGTTTTTTGAATTTTGAAAATTTTGGCCTCGAGCATCACTGAAGAGACATTAATTGTCGAAATTCGTATCTGTTGCAGTAAAATTGGTACCGTAAATGTTATTGGTGACTACTAGTATGTTGAACGCATCTATCCCATCGAACTTGAAATAGAGCATACATAAGATAAGGTTAGGTTTTCTTCATATCTTGACTTCATCTAAAAATTGACAAAGAGGGCCGGTTGACAACAAAACTTTACAACAAAAGAGAGGATTTCAGATACCCAAACGTGAACTTTCCATTTCTGTGTAGTATTCACTATTATTATTGAAAAAAAGATTTTCCTCCCGTGGTTACCTATTGATTATTTTCTTATTTTTCTCACAGGAATCCTGTAAATGCACCGAGGACAGGCAGAACCTAAACCCATATGAGTAGCATTTTACAACAATTAATGAGAAAGGATAAATAGATAAGAAAACTTTACATACGTAGCTGTAGATTTTGATATCAATGAAATTGGATTAGATGCTGAACTTGAACCGAAAGACATTAATGTAAGTGAATATACTTATGTTCTATATACAACCTAGTTCCTTTATACATTGGAAGCAAAACTTTATACAATATATGATCCCTAACAATATTGATATTTTATATTCACCTTTTGATCTTCACAGTATAGACCGGTAATAGAATCAGACTGCTTGAACATTTGACCATGTGTATTCCCAACGTTATGATCAACACAGCTATACAGGTTACAAGAAGGGTCCTGTCGACAGATAAAAACTTAGTTACGGTATTGTTCATTTGTACATACAATTTATTTATCGCTTTAGTGACGACATCGAACATTTTGACATTCAACTTTTACCGCCACAGGTGATGCAATTAAAAGTAGTTGTTTAATCTCATTGGAGATACTCGGCTTACAATTTGGTAAAACTTAAATACTGAGATCGAATATATTACGAACGCTATCACGAGTTGATTGACCGTTAAGGAAAACAGATGACTATAAATATGTTCCAGTTGTCATAACCATAATCCGGTCATTTCTTCTTCGATCGTGCCATCACCAAATGAGGCTTATTACGGAATTTGAAATTAAAATTGAGAATAGAAACAGTGAATGTGTCAAAAAGACAACAACCCGACCAAAAAGCAGAAAACAGCCAAAGGCCACCAATGGGTCTTCAACACAGCGGAAAAATCCCGCGTCCGGAAGCGGGCTTCAGCTGATCCTTAAACAATAATGTGTATTATTTTGCGAAAATGGACGTCACCCTTTACTCCAAAATATATAAATGAACCAAAATTTAAAACATACAAGACTAACAAAGGCAAGTGGTTTCTGACTTTCAACATGCACAGAAATGGGGCGGGGTTAAACATTTTCTGTGAGATCTCATCCTTCTCCCTATACCTTCAGCCTATGTGGAATAAACAAACACACAGCAATACGCACAATAAAACTCAATTCTAAAGACGTCTGAGTAGGATGTTAGAAAAGGTTACAGAAGAATCTAAGCAAAATGACAATGATCAACATAAATTAAAAAGGACTACTAGCAGTTACTAACATGCCAGCTCCACCCATCAGTTAAACTGATCGAAATATTATGTCTTCATCATATGAAAATCAAGCACAATCCTTTCCATTATGAGTTTAATATAATACCATCATAAAATATGCGAGAAGAACATAACCCATATCATGCCAACAAATGGTTTCAGAATAGATGTGTTTATTTCCGATGCAAAGAACCTATGAGTGAAATGCCATCTTTAATGACCTGACAACAGTATCTTAACTATATCCTATCTGAATAAGTCTGTTTAAAGGTTTGGTTAGCTTTTGATGTGAATGACGACACTTTTGTGCTTTGTATAGAATATTACCATAAAAGATGGGATGTGAAATACCTGAACATATAAGATGTCTGCACGTTGATTGATATTATGAATGATATACTTGTAATGATGATAAAATTTATTAAATGTTTTGACAAGTTTGTGATATCGAAAACCCTGATGTTATGATTCTTCAGTAATATAAAGATTAAGCATGAGCAATATTAAGGGTGTCACATATGGGGTTGATCTGCTTACTCTTTCGAAGCACATACAATCATTCCCGACATTTGGCGGTTTCATGTTGCTCATCCTTTTTTATATGTAGTGTTATGTTGACTTGTTAGTCTTTTCGTCGTTTTTCATTTTCTGTCGCTGTCAGTTTCTATTCATTTTTTTCGTGTTCAATTTTATGAGTCATTATGAAGAAAATGCTTTGAAATTTAAATTTGCCTACCACAACATTCGGATATTCACGGTATCTAAATCCACTTCCGTATATTTGTTCACATACTTCATCTGCTGTCTTCAACTGACCTGGTAATAAAGACATAGTATAACTACTAGTATACAGAAATCATATAGATAAAAACAATTAAAATAACACGTGTAACTAAAGTGAACATCAACAGATATAGTTTTCAATTAATATCAAAACTATATTCTGTCTCAACAACACCAAAAAATATGTCTACAGATATGCTTACATTAACATAAGTATACTATATTTTATCTTTTGATCATTCATTTCCATATGTAAAATAGTGAAAAACCGAAGCGGAAAGTTGAAAATAACAATTCCAAGGAAACAAACAGTTAAAAAAACCAACAGTTCACAAAACGCTAAACAGAAAATTAAAAATTGGAACAATGCAAACTCCCACGCGAAAACAAAACCCACTTATATGAAGCACTTTGTCATGTCTGATTGAAGATTTTTATATCTAAAGAGGTATTAATACAAGTTTACAAATACCTTTTCAATCTAACAATAAATCAATACATTACACCATACACTACTATTATATCTCGGCAAGGTCGTCTAAACAATATTAAAACACATTACTGATTGACAGAGAGAAAGGAGACATCACTGGGGATTTGAAAAAACAATAAGTCAATGATAACAGGAAAACCCATGGCCAAATAAATAAATGAAAGCATAATACGCCCTTAATGTATATGCATATTGGAATTGTTACCAGACTAGAATGTGATGTTTAGAAAGTATCTTAGCAGAAGCGAATAAAATAGCTATGTTGAAACACATGTCTGGGGATAGCATTAGGTGAATAATGATTTCGTAAATTATTACTGTTTAAAGTCCTTTATCTCTTAAAAAAAATACAAACCAGAAAGTTTTCAAAACCAAAATCAAGTCTAGTTCCATAACTTTGGAATGAAATATCAACACTTTTTTTAAATCAAACAGGTTGTAATATTTACAATTTCCCACGGTAATGTAAAGTTTCCAGTAAATCAAGAGAACTCGAGTTATGGTACAAAATGTGAAAATTGTCTGGTAACTCTGGAAAGACAAACAAGAAAAATAAACATCGAAACGCAGTTTCCTCCTATCAATCCTAACAATAATGTGAAGTTTACAGGAATCATTCCTGGAAATCCGTCGTATATGGAAAGTGTGCGTCGTATGTGAAAAAGCCTTAAAACTAACGGTTAAATTTCCAAAAATCTGGAACGACAAAGCCAAAAATAAAACTAATCAAAATGGGGCTTTTCCCATCAATCCTAATGTTGTGTAAAACAGATATAAGAATTGGCAAAAGCAAATTTGACTTATCGTACGAGGTTTTGACTTAATGGACAAATGAAAAACATAAAAACCTATGACTAAATGAAATCAGACAAAAATCAATACATTGCCAAATGAAAAATATACAAAGCCATTGCATAATGAAAAACAGACAAATCCATGGCCAAATGATAACCGCAAAAATCCATGAAAAACTCCCCCCCTCCCCCCCCCCCCCCAAAAAAAAAACCAGACAAGGTCATTGGTAAATGAAAAACATACAAACACATGGCCAAATGGAAACCAGACAAATATATGACCAAATGGAAACCAGACAAATATATGACCAAATGGAAACCAGACAAATATATGACCAAATGGAAACCAGACAAATATATGACCAAATGGAAACCAGACAAATATATGACCAAATGGAAACCAGACAGCCCCATGGCCAAGTGAAAAAAAAAACATAAACAATTCCATATCCAAATAAAAGACGGACAAATCTAAGGGCAAATGATAAAACCGACAAATCCATGGACACAGAAAAATCTATGGCCAAATGAAAACGGACAAATCCATGGTCTAATGAAAAACAGACAAAAGAGAAACATTGGTTAAGAAAAAACTAAAACCGTTTGTGACCACTTACAAAGTAATGCTCGATTGAAGTTATTATGATACTCTGAAAAAAAAATTATAAAAAAACATATGTCGCACTCAGTTTTAAAATAGATAAATTAATATCAAAGCACTGCATGTTTAAGCAATGAGTATTTCAAATACAAAATGTCGGTATATGCATTTGTCAAATCACCGAGTGTATTTTTCAAGACCCGGGAAATGAAGGTTCCAGTAACCGTGCAGAAAAACCCTTCAGGTATCCCACAGGAAATTTGTGATTAAACTATCCGTGAAACGATTATGACAATAAAATATGAGTGTTAAACCTGCAATTATCATCGTTACTGTGGAATGCCGCTATGCAAAGGACGACCCTTCTACACGTAACAAGAAATCTTAAACTAAGGTCTTCTGACAATTCAATTGGCAGCAATATCATAAAAAAATCAAAATAATATCTAAGAAATTGTATGCGTCCAAAGCACTTTTCAGGATTTGCCTTCGTCAGGAACACTTCCAAAAAGGAACCTGGATAAAAGCAAAGTCAATTTTACCTGCGTCATTTAGCAACCGCAGAAGAAACTTGTCATTAAACGAACATTAAAGGATCATCGTTAAAGAGATGAATTTTGCAGCAAACTATGTTATTGTCCTACAGAAGAATATGGTACAGTAGGACAATGCCTAGTCCCAAACAAGTGTAACAATAGATTTCATAACTCAGAACAACATACATATATTGCCATGTCCCTTAAAGTCGCCGGTTTTAACCCCCAAAGAACATATTTTGGAGAAATTTGATAGGGTGTGTTTAATAAAGCAAACCACAAACTTGATCATTGGATAAACTCAATCAAACATGGATTTCATAGGATACCACTGGTCCGAATACAAAATTATTAATCCATGCCAAGAAGATGTAGAATAGTATTAATCACGTAAGGTGGTCACAATATATACTGCCTTAAACTTCAGCAGAAATTGATCCAAATTATCGGACATATACCTTGCATTCTCATGTCCTATTGCAGAAACTAACGTTATTTGAAGCGTATTTACCTATAAGTTCTGGCACTAATGTCAGTCCCTGTAAAGATGCTGGAGTGACTTCATTATCAGCAATATTGTCAGTCCATAGACACCCATGATTGCCAGTTCTGTGAACAGTATGAACATTGCATAACAAATCAAGTAACGCAGTGAACAACAAAACTGCGTTTTTGACTTACCCGTCAAAAAGTTTCGAAAAAAAAACTTCAGTTATATAATGATTCACAATAGAACACAGGCTTATAATTTAGTTCTCTAGGCTGATGTTCCATGCACAGAACACTCACCAGTGGAGCTCAAAATCAAAACAATTGGAAGCCTTATACAACTACACATCTTTGCTAGCCAAGGGTTACGATCCACTTCCCTCCTCTCCACCCTTGGCAGATTAAGCCAACATTTGTGATAACAATGTTGCGCCATCTATTGGTAGATTAAAGTCACGCCCATTCCGAATACATTATTCTTGACCAATGGTAGCACTTGAACTATTCAATTTGGAGGTAAAAACACGGTAGCGTCTAGATTCTACACACTTGGTAAAGCAGGAAACGAAAATATACGTTGACATTCATGCCATTGTGCAAGAAACATACAGAGGAACTTTTATTAGTTGATTAAGAACATTCAAGTTGTCACTAAATATAGTCGTATGTCTAGTGATGTAAAGACTTGTTGCACAATACGCACGTTACAATTGTTTACATACACCTTCTACATTTACACGTGATCATGTTATAGGCGCTTTTTGATTGGATGCAGCGAGTTTCGACTGCAACCAACGAAAATCATTACCTTGTGTCTGCGAAATTCTATCTCAATCCGCCAAGGGTGGAGAGGAGGGAAGTGGATCGTAACCCTTGGCTAGCGAAGATGACAATTACAACGTTGAAAAGTATTAATAACGAAAAATTATACACATTTCTGCCAATTTTAGGTATAGGTCATTGTGGTAAAAATTTACGCCATCAAAGTGCAAGCTATTTGATTGTTTGTTGAATATTTGTTTAAAAAAAGGTCAGCATTATATAAGAACAAGCAGTGCTATTTTTCATGCCTTATTGTCTTATTCACATGACGCATATTCCATGGAACTATCCTATTAAATTCATATTCTGCTTAATAGCATAATTTTTCTCGTTCATCATTTCACATTTCAGGAACAATACAAAGGGTGTGAACTTTCGGACACAAACTGGTTGTCTTTCTAAGGCACTGGTGAAATATGTCTTTTAGCAATTGGTGAATTTTGTTTGTACTCTTTGCATTTTTAATTTTATTTTTATTAAATACACTGTCCAAATCAACATTGTATGTTCTGCTGACTAGCATACGTATAAAACGTCATTTTGAAATGAGTATTCTGTAAATATTCGTATTCAAAGTTTTTAAATGCGTTATGTATGTCAGTTTTTGTGCAAAAAAGGAAAATGTTTTAAAATATTTTCTTGAAAATGTATTAAGATGCGGCGAATGATTTCCTATTTAATTTTTATCAAAGAATAGATTTTTACTTTAAAAATATTTTATTAGCATATAGTCATGCAATCAACAATGTGTTACAATACCATAGTAGCCTTTTATTATACTATAGTTTATTATGTATTCTTACTGTAACATTGTGTTCATATCATTGACACTACATGTACTCCATCCGACGCCAGCACCACCCATTAAACCAACGTCTGGAGATAAACAATTTCTATCAGCATCATGCAGCATACCCATACTGTAATTAATTACATAGGTTGTAATGGTTATGGTTAATTATTTATAAAATGGCACTTTACTGATGTGAAATGTATCTTAACTTATTTTCCTTTGTATTTAAAAAATGATATTAAGCGGACATTCAAACTCAAGTCGAAGAAAAACTAATAACGGCATGGCAAAAAAAAAAAACAACAAAAAAATGACGGAAAAAAAAGAATAAATCCACAAAACACTAGATAGAAAACTAAAGATTGAGCAACATGAACCCCACGAAAAATCGGGGGCGATCTCAGATACCCCAATAGTAAATAGTTTTGATAATACTAAGAAATCAAATATATCTTGACAACTACATTATATCTATATCTATATCTGTATGTACAATATTAAAATGACTAGTAATGTAAAAAAAAACCTATTAATAGTATGCTGTCATTTCAAGCTATTTGACAGAAACATCACATATGAAAGGTCAAATCGTAGTCTATTAAAGCGCATACAAATAACATACTTATGACCTATTTCATGGACTGTAGCAACATATGTTGTAATCCCATCTGCAGAAACACCACATCTGTACCTAGGATTGCATACTGTACTTTGGTAAGCTAATCCTCCCAATTCTGAATTAGGTATGCTATATTTATAGAAAAAAACTTAATTAGTCAAAAAGCAACGCTTGCGACGTTCGTCGGAGGCGATCAAATATGATATATTGGGTATACTTCAATGAAACAGCTACCCATCGACACAAGATACAAAAAACATCTATAGTTAGCATACGGTTTCAGCGAATTTTCAATTGTAATAAATAATTCATTGAATGACGTAATTGATTCACGTATGTTACGGCATAAGATAAGATTTGGCTTTTAGACTGTTTAAATGTTATATATTTGTATTAAAAAAAACTTCAAATTCACATTTTGTTTTGAGATTTTTGTTCGATTAAACTGTCCTTCACTGCAACGTTAATTTCTAGTAGTTTATTTTTGTACCAAAATTTGACATCCTTAATTTCTACAAACTTAAGGTTTTTGAATATTTTCGGGAAAAAAACAACTTACATTTTACATTACAAGTAGCTGTTGATTCACATACATTATGCTGTGAAAGCAACAGTGAATACAAAACTATTCTCTTTCAACATACGAATTGAACAATTGTTAATCATTTTCAGTAGCAATATTGTGTACTGGCAGGACAGTTGTTTGGGTAAATGTATACATGTCGTTGTAACTTGATTCCACTTGTAAACAATGCAGGCAAACTAATTAAAGCGTGGAATGCTGTTTTTTCAAATTGGCATTCAGCTGTTTATCGTTGGTATATTGTCGGAATGATTTTATTTCTTACCCTGTGTGAACATGTACATGATCGTAAGCCAGACCGGTTTGAGTTCCCGTACATATAGTTTTCAATGGAACGGACAGAGAAGTTGAAGCATTGTACCAGGACTGAAATAGAAAAATAGTATAGGCTACAACTTCAGGAAATCTGTGTTCAAAAAAATCGTTTATCATCGCCACTTCTTAACGTGCAAGTCAATCATGTTCATAATCTAAACTCTAGTTTGGCTTTAGAGATATATTATTGTTTTCATCCGTTTAGAAATTATTGTTTGGTGGCAGACCTTTGACAGCCTCTATTATATTTTACACAAATGATATAGAAATGGAATGTTTGATGTTTGATCCATGGTACAGAAACTTGTCCATTGTTGCAGATCATAAATCTACCTCTTTTTTTCTTTTTCAGGTGTTTGTATTTGTTTAATTGTTGTTTCATGAACGAATATCCCACACAAAATTATATTTACAAATAGAACTGTTAACATAACTATCTTATCTATAAGAATTAGAAAGTCAAAAGATGTACTATTACAATGGCTGAAATACAAACAACTTGTTTATATTTAATGTATTACACAATGACAGCACTGGAAAAACACAAGTAAGTGCGGGAATCCAGAATATGTTCCTAAACATATGTATTGCTAAAAGAATCCATCCTCATCAGGATTGGTATACGGACAAATGCAGTAGAATTTCTTATGTAACACCCATATCTCCCTATGGTGGCCTCCAAATAAAATCAATCAAAACGAAGGAAAACGCTTATTGTGTTAACGTCGATGATCAAAAGTGTTAGAGTGTTAGAGATGAAATCAGACTCCCCTTTTCATGATAAAACAAATGTATTTAAGACATTTAATGAATTAAAATTCTTTCTATCAGTCTTTCAGATTTAAACTATTTCTTCTTAGTTATTTTATAACGAATTGAAGATATAACACATGAACATCTTTTATTATTCATGAATATAAGTGAAGATTGTATTTTGTATTTTGGAGAATTCAACCAAAAATACATATATTTATTCTCACCGGGTTTGTATCAAAAAACGACATAAGTTTGATTGATAGAGTGACGTTATAATTTAACACACCAGCACGACTCCATTCACACTGCACCTGCAAAGATAAAAAATAGACATTACATCGGCTTTCGTGTTGTTTTCTGCTTTGTGTTCATGTTATAATTCTTGTTAGTGACAGATGAATATTAGCAGTCTATTCGCTAAACTAAACGCAAAGAACTTTGAGGAATCTTTGATTGACGTTCCCTTTAAGGATGCAAACAGATTGAGAAATAAAAGGTCTTTTCAATTCTGATGCTATCCATTTAATTATCTGTAATGCATGACACACAGACAATTCTCTATACCCTTACTTATTGTTGGAAGTAACGGATAAACGTAACGTTCTCGCTGCCGTTATTCATTGTAACGTCACCTAAGAGTGACGTATTGATATTAGAGTTTGAATAGAGATCCAATCATGCTAGACGCCTTTGTTATTGTTAGCCTTATAGTTGCCCGATTTACCCACTAAATGATATTGGTGCCTAGTGACCAGGATGAATTAGAAGCTGAAATCGATACGTGCAGGACATAGAAGCGCCGTTTCAAGAATATTTAAGAAATTTGACAAAATTCGGGTGAGCGGAACAGAATTTCTTGATTCCGATGAACTTTCGAACATTTTAGACACTTTGAAAAGGAAAAAAAAAAAGAATTGTTAAGGAAATTAGATAAAGACATTATTCAGGATTTGGGTCAAGAGGACATTGAAACAGAAATCGTTGACTCAGATGAGTATTCATTTAATTTAGAAACAAAAGTACGTCAAATAGCCAAATTTATCACAGTACAAACATCAACGCTTAATACAAATGCCACAAGCTTTACAAACTCTAGAAACGACGTTCCTCCTATATCCTAGTACTAATAATCCTTCAAGCACAGAAAATCAGCACAATACACATTTCCGTTCAGATTTTCGCTCATATTCCTCAATTGCTAGCGAGTACAATAAGATCCCTAAACTCAATCTACCAACTTTCGATGGTGACATTCTACAATGGCAGTCCTTTTGGGGCTCGTATGAGGCAGCCGTATAATACAAACCCAACACTGAGTAACGTCCAGAGGTTCAATAACTTAAAGTCATTGTTACACGATGAGGCTTTCCAAGCCGTAAATGGCTTTGCACTTACAAACTCAAATTACGGAAGAGCAATTTCGTTCCTACAACAAAGTTATGGACAAGTTCACAAAATCACGCAAAAGTACATGAACGCATTACTTTTTTTTTAACATTAACAAATTCTTTATTGCACTAGTATCTAGTTGTTAACAACTGCCCTATATAGTACAACCATTATATATAGGTATACGCATTACTTGAAATCCGTCACTCAAGAATACCCTACAGAGTTTACGCAATTATTACGACAAAATTGAAACATATGTACATGGGTTAGAATCCCTTGATCAGACAGCAGATACCTATGGCTCATTATTGTTCACTATCATATTTAAAAGTTACCGGGAGACGTACGCATAAATCTTACAAGACACCATGGTTCAACTAGTTGGCAATTAAATGAACTACGACAAATAATATGTCACGAACTCAACATTATGAGGAAGGCAATTCCGCTGATCTGACGGAAACTCAAACCGCTACATCAGCCTTTCATACCAATGCAAAGGTACGTACTAAACCAGTAAGCAGACAAGTGAACGTAATGTCATGCGTTTTTTGTAATGAATCACACGCCCCCGTTGACTGCACTAAGATAATTGAACACAAAGCAAGGATTTCTATTGTTAAAATGTATCGTTTGTGTTTTAACTGTCTTGGACATCACAATGTAGCTGATTGCAAATCACACCAAAATTGCAGGAAATGTAAAAAAACGGCATCATACTAGTTTATGCAAAGAGGTACAACAAGATGAAAAACAGAGTAACGCTAATGTAAATATTAGCACAATTCAGGAAACACAACACAACGCGAAGGAAACGGGCACAGTTCTTCACTCACAGGCACAGATCAATGTATTACTAAAAGCTGCCATAGCGCAAGTAAATTCAGGCATTCAATGTACCATGGAAACAGATATGTTGCTAAGTTACCTTGGAAGGAGGAACACCCTACCTTACTAGACAACAGAAGTATTGCTCAACGGAGAACAGAAAATGTCATTAAGCGTCTTAGTCGTGAACCTACACTTTTACAGAAGTACGGACAGATTATAAATGAACAAGAAAAACGTGAGAGAGTTGATGAACGATCAACCAACACAAAGGTTCATTACATACCTCACCATCATGTACGTAAAGAGTCGTCAACCACGCCAATCAGAATTGTATTTGACTACAGATGCAAACCTACACCTGTTAGTTCGAGTTTAAATGATTGTTTGATGAATCTTTCGCCAAACTTGAATGACTTGACTGGGATTCTTCTCCGATTTAGAATGCATAAATACGCCGTGGCGACTGATATAGAAAAAGCCTTTCTTAATATTGGTCTTAACGAACAGGATCGTGATGTTAACAGGTTCTTTTGGTTTAGTAGCCCTGATGACCCATATAGTCAACTTACCACATACAGATTCAAGTCAGTATTATTAGGAGCAACTTGCTCTCCGTTCATCCTAAATGCTGTTATACGTAAACATTCGACTAAAAACCCCACTGACTGGACAGCAATGTTAAAGAAAGACTTATATGTTGACAATATTATTTCGAGCTTTAATCAACAAAGAGATTTGTTAGACTATTTTCATACACCACTTTCAGTATTTGAAAAAAGCAGGTTTTAACTTAGGCTCATGGGCTTCGAACTGCAAAGAACTGCAAGACCGTGCCTCATCCGGAAATGTGCTAGACGAAGACAAACTTGTCAAGATACTTGGTTTGCGATGGGACACAGAAAACGACACACTCACATTTGCACGCAGAGACCCACTTTTAGTAGATAATAGCATTAAAACAAAACGCGATATACTCCGTCATTCATCACAAGTGTACGATCCGCTCGGAATAATCAGTCCTATCAATGCTAGGAGTAAAATGTTGATACAACGTATATGGGAGATGAAAGTAGATTGGGACGAACCGTTATCGTCGGACGTCGTTTTACAGTAGAGACAGATACAAAAAGACACGAATGATTGTACCAAACTTGAGATTTCCCGCTGTAACATAGACAACACTTTAAACACGAATAACTTGCATATCCACATTTTTACCGATGCAAGCTTAAAGGCCTACGGATCATGTGCATATATCGTAGATTCAGATGGAAATCAAAGCACGCTAGTGATGGCAAAGAACAAAGTTGCACCACTGAAGAAAATGACAATTCCGAAACTTTAATTAATTGCGTTTGTTATAGGAGCTAGACTGTTGAATCATCTTATGCAACATATTTATATTGAACAAGCGACACTTTGGATTGATAGTCAGATAGTACTGAACTGGCTAAAGACTGACAAACAACTACCAGCCTTTGTTAGAAATCGAGCAACTTACAAGGACGTTTAAATGGAGGTATTACCCGACAGACTCAAACCAGGTCGACTTATTATCTAGAGGGATATCAGCCGATAAATTTAAAAATAGTCAATTATGGATACATGGTCCACAGTGGATAACTGACAAGTCTAAATGGCCGTCATGGATACCTAATGATCATCACCAAATTCTCTCCGTTTCCACAGACGATGTAGAAACAACGAAAAAGGACGAGGCCAGTATGATAGCTGATACAATAGGACTTCATCAAATTATCAACATTGATCAATTTTCTTCTTATCAGAAACTACTCCGTGTAAGCGCCTACGTATTAAGCTTCATACAAAACTGCAGAAAAGACAAACGGAAATTCAGAATATGTCTATAATGTTAATTCGAAATTCACAACATAGAAACTATGCCGAAAAAATGAAGGACTTAAGTGAGAAACAAACGAAAAACAGCCTTGTTAAACAACTCAAACTGTATTTGGATCAAGAAAATATAATACAATGTGGTGGAGGAAGAATTAACAATACAAATACACTAGAATCAGCTAAGTTTCCCGTTTTATTGCCTTCTAAAGACAAGTTAACCGATCTCATCATAAAAAATGCGTATACAAGAAATTTTCATTGTGGACTAGAAAGTTCTGTTACAGTTTTGTGACAGTATTACTGGATTCTAGCAATCAGACGAAACATAAAGACTTTGCATCGCTGTGTTACTTGTCGTAAAGTAACTGGAAGACCCTACCCCGTTCCAGACCCACCACCCTACCAGCCGACAGACTTCGTGAAGACCATCCATTCACAGTTACAGGAGTGGATTTCGCAGGACCATTACACATAAGAAAGAAGGACAAAACAAAAAAGTGTACATATGTCTGTTTACTTGTGCTAGTACAAGAGCAGTTCATTTAGAAATTGTGCAGGATTTATCATAGAATGCTTTTATTTTAGCTTTTCGCCGTTTTACAAGTAGAAAGTAACTCCCAAAAGTGATGATTTCAGACAACGCGTCTACGTATGTTGCGGGGGCAAAAGAAATTGAACATTTAACAAAATCATCATATGTAACCGAGAAGCTTAATTCTTATGGAACAACTTGGCGATTTATCCCGAAGAGAACACCTTGGTTCGGCGGGTGGTGGGAGAGATTGATAGGATTAACAAAAAACTGCATTAAAAAAGTATAAGAACGAGTACTGGTGGACAATGCAACACTCAACACGATAATTACTGAAGTAGAAAGTATACTCAATGATCGCCCACTTACATACGTTTCATCGGATCCAACGGACAACGAACCCCTTACTCCGTCACATTTATTTTATGGAAGACGAATCAAGACGCTTCCGTATAACGGACTTGAGGACTGTACTTTACAACCAGGAGCCAAAGACATTACGCATGAATCAGTAACTAGACAATCAAAGTTTATATCATTAATTCTTAAAAACTTCACAAAAAGATGGAAACATGAATACTTAACTTTGCTAAGGGAACATTACCGATACACTGGTCGAAACACACAGAACATTAATGTCAGAGATGTAGTTCAGATTCATGACGAATCAGGTGTGACATCTAGTCCAATCAGCAAACTTTATCCGTTAGAACTGAATTCTTTGGAAGTTGAAACTAGAGCAGTTTAGTGTGAGGCAAAGAAGAAAATAATAAAAACATGGACTAACGCATGTTAAATGTAAATTGTGATTTGATTTTGAATTTTCGGTGTTTTAACGCCACTTTTAAGCACCGTTTTTTGGCTATTTCGTGGCGGCCAATTTTCATTGGTGGAGGAATCCGGAGTGCCCGGAGAAAACCTGACAATCCTAGTCAATTAAGATTGGAGTCGAGTGCACCCGCACGAGCGGGGTTCGAACTCACAACCTCAGTGTTGACTGGCTAGTGATTACAGTAGTAACTACTTAGACCACTCGGCCACCGAGGCCCCAAATGTAAATTTTGAAAAGTTAAGGTAAATGTGATTAGCATATGGACATTTAAGTGAATAACCATGGACTGTTAAACATTATTACATAGAGACTTTAAAGTTTTAATTATTTTCTCAGAACTTTTATCATTTAATTTGTGATCACTTTTATTTATTGTAAAGTAATTCATTTGCGGCCCACAGTATGTTGGAAGTAACGCATAAACGTAACGTTCTCGCTGCCGCTATTCATTGTAACGTCACCTAAGTGTGACGTATTGATATTAAAGTTTGAATAGAGATCCATACATGCTAGACGCTTTTGTTATTGTTAGCCTTATAGTTGCCCGATTTACCCACTAAACGATACTTATACAGCCAGGTAATAATATGGATGGTCTCGTAGAATTGTGTTTGACTTGCATTCCGGAAGTCATCTGTTCAATCCATAGCCGGGTGAAACCTAGGACTTACAAAATGTATTTGCTGATACAACATTTAACAGTTGGTCGGCTCTGAGTTTGTATCGGATTAGGCCACATGTCTTCCTGTTGAGTCTCTTCTTGTCAATTAATATGTTTGAAATCCGACTCAGTGTGTAGATTTAGTACTAACATCATCATGTTCTCATCCGATTGTGCAAGTTATATTTGCCACTAGACGCTAACAAACAATCCCTCATCGTCAGATTAACAGACACTAAGCTGTGTTGGTTAGGTTCATTGTTGAAGGTTGTGCGTTGACCTATAATTGTTAACTTCTATGTCATTTGGTCTCTGGTCGAGAATTCTCTCATTGACAATTATACCATCTTCTTTTTTTTATATTTTATTCGGTAAAAAAAAAGTATGTTAGCTCAAAGTTCTAATATATCAAATAAATCAAATACATGTACATCAAAAGAAATTCAAGACGTTAAACTCGAAGTGCAATATTGAAGTGTTCAACCCTTGATCCCATTCAAGATAAATGACAATATGATTATTTAATTTTTCATTTTTTCAAGTTGATGTAAGTTAACAAAAAAAAATCACCTGAGATTTAAATTACTGTTAAATCTTTCTTTGTAATATTTAAAGATTTGGGATTTTAAATTCTTAACATAAAAACATAATTTGTTTGAAACTGTACGTTATCAAGTAATCAATTAATCGTACTAAAACTCATCAAAGATACCAGACTTGTAAGGTTGTACGCTGACGCGCGTTTCGTTTAGGACTCATCAGTAGAGATCGAATCAAACGTTTGGAGAGCAAAATGAAATACAAATATGAAGAGCATTAAAAACATAAAAATCCGATACTTTGTGTCAAAATCGCTAAGGCAATCTATACCTAGGGGTAGAAAAAAATTACTGTTTGGAAAATTTCAACATTTCACGAACAGTAAATTTACAGAAAATTAATGTTGATGTAATTAACTTTGTTTTTCCTATTGGAGATTGGGAAGTTGGAAATGTAAAATTGCGTCAAGAATTCTTGCTTCATGTTTTTTAACGTTTATTTCATCATGGTCTGTACATACAAATTCCTGACCCGAAGACAAACTGAAAATAACGCAAAACTCTAACCTTTTCCAAACGAATTCAGGAATAAACTCAGGTAGTTAGCAAGGGAAAGTTGTATAAAAAAAACGAAAAACTTAAGAATGAGTAACAAGAACAAGTTTTAAAACAGTGGGTTATTTCGAGTGTTTTTGAATGAGATGCAGAACCTGCTCCATTAGTAGCACACATTCTGTTGCTTACAACCTATTTTCAAACATAGTGTTTTTGTTTTTACAATAAACTATTGTGTATACCTTGGTCATTCTTTTTCACTTAATACTTTATAAACCTTATACATTTATGTATAAGTTCCTAAAGAAAGAAATATATCTTCGTATGCCATTCTTTGTAATGAAACATATTAAACCTCATTCTTTCAGTTTGTCTTTACAATGTTTTTCAACAGACAAGTAAACATCGGTGATGACGCACATCTGGTGATGTCACAATCGAGAAGACGGGATTTTGATTTCGACATTTGAAACATATCCGTGGTCATCTATGACATAAGAATCATGATATGAAAGCAAGCTCTTAACCATCGCTTTAACTTGGAGATATACAGCCAATTTGAAGTTGTTGCTGGAATGTTGATACGTATAAAACGTCAATATAATAATTGGAAAGCAGAACGTTTGGGCCTCAATGGATCCTTATTGTCAATTTCTAAGAATGTCAAGATAAAGGAGCGGACTAAACTGTAGTTGTGGTATCCTTTCATTTTAGAGCGATGGGATAGATACCCTCAATATAATCATCAAACGTCGATTTTTTAGTGACAGGACACCTCTCCAAATAGCGGAAAATAAAGGTTCTGTTTAATCCTTCTACATAAATTTAATCTTTTATGAAGAATGGCTTACCCCAGGAAAAGATTACCTTAGCTGTATTTTGACAAAACTTTTCAAAATGCTGTGTTCTCAGTGCCTTTCAGCTTCAACTTTTTTTGGCTTTTTAAACTTTTTTTATTCGAGCATTATTGATGAGTCATTATTTGGAGACGAGCGACTGGCTTACAAACTTTTAATCCTGGTATATATGATAAGTGTATTTATACGAATAATGGACTAATTTAGCGAAAAGTACACTGCAAGGAGCAATATTAGACCGGCTATTTGTTGAAAAACACGCCCACAAAACTAACAAATATGTTGTCATAAACAAATCAACCATCGTGACTCTTTCAGCTTCGGCTTTTATTTATTGGAGAGCTTTTTGTTTGTTTACAATGAATGAATTATCCCTCCCTTAACAACAAAATATGTGTATCTACATTATCCACACTTTCATGAAACTAATTCTTTCAATCTGTTTTTAACAGAATGATGACTATTGAAAAAAATAAAAATTACAAATATTTCATATTGTACGACGACTCGAACTTTCTACTCGACCAATATTTACAAGTTTTAGTATCCACATATGATTCAACCACCACGATTAGGCACTTTCACTACTCTAAAATTGTGTTTCCAGCTACGGAGTTAGAACATTGGCTAACATAATTCAAAGAGAATATATCTGAATGAAGAGCTTGCATTCGGTTTTAAATAGCTATGAGAGATGACTGTAACAGACATTCTTTAAAGAAGGGGAATTTTAGATTTGGCTGATTAATGATGCAGTTTATTGCAAAAATAAAAGACCTTTGTTTGCAAATTGAAGTTTTAGAAATGGTATCTCTGCGTCATCGTTTTCAATGAAAAGTCTTTGATTGGCAATATCCGAAACGATAGTTTTTAGGAAGGTCATTGAATAAGACAATATGTATACAGCACATATACTTTGCAATGTTGCCATGATGGTGGCTAATAGATAATGAAGTCATTCGAGATATTTACCCTATTGACGCATCTCGGTTTACCTTGTTTGTAGTTTGTTCGATTCGGACAGTTTTGTTAACTCTCATGTTTGTCTGTTTGTTTACGGACTTATATTTCAACTGCTTTGTGGAATTCGATTTACTTAATGTCCAGTGCGAATATTATATGCATAATAAGGACGAGAACTATTACAAACGTCACCGATTTACTTGGTCTTGCAAGAAGTTCAAGTTGGATGAGGTCATTAAAGAAGAATAGTTAGTAAGGTATAAACATACATATGTGTCTTGCAATGGGCTACATACAAGGCTTGAGTTTTAACATAAACACATAACTTACCCATGTTGACGCATTTATGCATTTCGGTCAATGGTATAGTATTTTAATATTGGTTTTTTAATAACACAACATTTTTATTTTTAATCATAATATGAAATCATCTGTTATTTCATTTGAACGACGAGGTATGACTATTCTTCATGTGGTGTTCATTTAAAAAACTTATAACGACAGGAACAATTATATTTATTAACAAAAGTGCATTATTTGAAATTAAATTAGATTATATGAATATACTTACTGCATTATACTTGCAAAGCATGATTTCAACTCTGCGGGTCATGTCAGTAGCTGGTAATTTATAAGACAAGAAGTCCGCATCACAATACACTGCCAATTCTATTGTTAAGTCAGATGAAGGTACTGACCGTTTATTTATTTTTTCATGGTTATATTCCGTTTGATAAATATGAGCGTCATCTGAAATAGTAAGAAAAGGCTTTGATACAGTTCCTCACAAAACTCTGAATAGTAAGCTTAATAGATATGGAGTACTAACAAACATATTCAATTTGATAGACTCATTCTTAATACAGAGCGTGGCAGTAAATAGCTGTATTCTAAAGAAAGCATGAAATATTTTATATTATTTTAGTGATCGACCGGATACGTTTTGCTTAGAAGCAAACTTTGTTTTAGATCCATTGTTACTCGATGAATAGGTTCGTCCTCAAAATTAACTTATTCTTATTTAAACTTTCCTATGTCTTTTGCTGCTTATGGAAACAACATCTCTTGTTGATAAACTCAAGTTATGCCATTGTCAATCGATATAAAACAACTGGTACCAAATAAATAAGGCAAAACAAAGTATTTTTTTGAAAAAAATATGTTAATTTTGCTGTCATTTTATTGGTAGCTACTTACTAAGTAACAGCCAGCACAATGTTAAATTAAACATTTTTACCAGAAAAATCGATGCTTACCGTTTTTTTGGCTAAAATCTGAGAACATAAAATCTTCTCGTCGTTTTCTGGCTATAAGTGTTGTATGTTGTTCACTCTTTAATGAACTCCGTTTTCGAATATGATGTGGCAAAACTTCAAAGTGAAGTTCATGGTCACTAGTTGACATCATTCCTCGCTAAATGAATAAATTTTTTATTTACTATGCGTTTCATATGCATGAAAATAATTAAGGTGAGGGTTTATTTACTGTTAGTATTTAAAGTTTTGCCTCTCGCTTTTTGTGATGACACACTTTTAACCTATTATTTAACTAAAGGTACACATTTATATAGCATCATGCTAGTACCTGGTTAGTTGTTACTTATTGGATGCTACTTGAGGTCAGCAGTGGTAGCTACAGTGCAGTTTTAGTTATTAAGAACAAGACAAAGAGAGGCGAAAGATACCAAAGGGACATTCAAACTCATAAGTCGAAAATAAACTGACAACGCCATGACTAAAGAAAGACAAATACCAACAGACAAACAATACTACACAAAACACAACATAGTAAACTAATGACTGAGCAACACGAACCCCACCAAAACCTGGGGGTGATCTCAGTTGCTCCGGAAGGGTAAGCAGATCCTGCTCCACATGAGGCAACCGTCGTGTTGCTCATGTTAGTACACACCCGGTAATAAGGCTAATTCGGTAGGTAAGATTCGGCAAAAGGGGACGGGATTGTAGTAACGACATTTGGAACATATTCGCTATCATGTGACACGATATTCCATAACGGTCAACCAACTCGTGATGGCGTCCGTTAAATTTACAAAGGGATGATTTCAACTTCATCACGTGGAACTCTTGGCTTAATAGCTTCCTTGTGAGCAGCAACCCTCTATCAAAGAAATCATGATAGGAAATACAAGCCCTGGAATATCGTATCAACTGGGAGATATATATTCCGAAAGCAGGCGCTGCTGGAATGTTGCTACATAGAAATGGAAAGTTCATAATAAGGAAGCTGAAATCATCTCTTTTGTCGTAAAGTTTTGATTTCTACCGACCCTCATTGTCAATTTCTAGATGTAATTCAAGATGTGAGGCAAACTTATCTGTATCTTTTGTATCCTTTATTGCAACCAAACTGTTAGCAGTGGGTTTGTCACGTGTGTCTTGTAAGACCATCCCCATGTGTATTTGATTTCAAACCGTTCATACATACTAGACATTTACACAAAAACGGATCATGCGGTCATATTTTTTGTATCAGAAAACAAAATCTAGACTTATTTATGCACCTTGCATTGTTTTATTCTTACCTTTAACAGGTTCGTGTTGCTCATTCTTTGGTTTTCTATGTAGTGTTTTGTGTACTGTTGTTTGTCTGTTTGTCTTTTCTTTTTTAGCCATGGCGTTGTCATTTTATTTTCGACTTATGAGTTTGAATGACCCTTTCGTATCCTTTGCTTCTTTTTTTGTACATTTTTCACAATGGTTAAATAATGTAATACATAATATATATTTCGGGTGAAAACAGAGAACTCTATAAAAATACAGATGCAGAATATTTCCAAATTTTAAAGAGTAAATGTTAATTTTTATATTATTTTTTAGTTCACGTAGCGCCTACTTTGTTTAATATTAGCCAAATTCTAAATGACAATTGTATACCAATTCTTCGCAAAATGATGCTGAGACAGTTCCATCATGGGAATGGACATTTCCAATTAGAAAACATTCCGGATGTTCTCCATTCCATTCCGTTTTTTCTTCATCAGTTATTATGGAAACTTTAGCCGAAGGGTGAAGTACCGACTTGGTATGCTGAAGAGTCATTTTGTAAGATTCCCCAAATGCAGATATGTCAATATCATATGATTCTGTAGAGTCTACTGATCGTCTTCGTCGATGGATTGATGAAACATCTAGGCTACAATAAGAATTTTTTTTTTTTGAGTAGTTCATGCTTCTGTTTTTGCCCTATTGATAAAATGTAAGACGGTTGAAATTGATTTCTGTATCTCTGGATTATGTATATTTTTTTTCTGTAACTGCAAGCATTGTTTGATACTATTTCATTGGTATTGTATTCTGGTTGATAACAATGCAAATACTGTAGTGGTAAAAGCATTTAAAAAATAAATTGAAAATGATTTTGTGTCGCACGTTCTACGTTACTTATGTTTTTCCAATGATCCGGATAAAAAATGAAACTGCTAAACATTTAGCTTCTCCCGACATATATTAATGCGTATGTTGTTGGCTATGTTTTAATCTCTTAACTTTAAGATAAAGAATAACATTAAAAGCGGTTCCCCCTTGATTTGTGTTTAATACACAATATACCTTCTTTACCTTTTGACTATTTTTTTTCTTCACTTTGTCGAAAATAGGCTTGACATGTGATACAGCCACTTGTCTGTTGTTGTTGAACTTGTTATACGGTTGAAGCATATGTCTAGACATATTTTTGTTAATTTTGACATATGGTATATGCACTTGTTTGTTGTGGTTGACCTTCACATAAGGTTCAAACTTTTGTCTTTTGTCTTTTGTGGTCCTTGACATATGGTATAGACACTTGCTTGTTGTTGTTGACCTTGACATATGGTAGATATAATTGGCTTGTGTTGTTAACCTTGACACATAATAAAGACATTTGTCTGTGGTTGATGACCTAGGCATATGATATATACATGTGTCTGTTGGGGTTGGCCTTGACATATTGCATAGACACTCGTTTGTTGTTATTGACCTTGACATATTGTATAAACACTTGTCTGAAATGGTCAGTTTGATCTTAACATCTTCTGATTAGTCTGTACAATAAATCATTCAGTCGTGTTCAGTGTTTCAGTTAACTTCCACTCATCCACTGCAGTAGATTCAGAACTGTTCAGACTATTCGCTTGCAGTCAATTTAGTATTGTTTGAAGTGTTTCAAATTTTGTCATGTCGAAACCCTTTGTAGCTGATTAAACGGTATGGGCATCGTCTTACATCCAGGTCATTTTACCCCGATTGATAGTTGCGTCATTGATATCTTCTTACTTTTATATAAACAGGTTATGTAGTGATGTGTGTATACACTTATGAACAATTTCCACTTTTGAAAAAAAAATATCTGAACTTAAAGTATTTCAAAAGTAAAACTATCCAAAGAAAAACTATCCTACCTCTGCTGATGTGAATTTGAAACTTCTTGGACTGATGTCAACTCAAACTCATTGAAGCCATCTGAAAATAATATGAAAAGATTTACAAATACATTATCTATGTGTTAAAGTTTGTTTATAAAATGCCGATGTGAATTCAAGAAGAAGCGCGCATATTCTATTTATCTATTTTTGTTTTGTTATGTACAAGATACCAATGAGAACTTCATCGAATGACGTCAAGAGACCTATACTTTACCTTATTATTAACCGATGTGTATGATAATAATCAAGCTACATAGGTTCTGAATAGAGCACAAACGATCGATATTGCACAAAAAAATATGTAATTGATTTTTGACAGTCCATATTTCACATCAGATAACGCCATAGGTCCAGAAATTATTGCAATGTTTTCCAACAATATTTTGCACCTGAACTTTTTAGTTCAATTTTATGGAAAAATTAGGTGAAATACGCATTACACTTCATACTTTCGCAAAGTAATGAATTTTATTAATAGTCATATTCTTAAATATGTTGTAGAACTTTCGAACCTAAACTGTGCCTGAAGTAGATTTCCCGCCACACCCCTTTTTACAAGTCTGGCAACATTTTAATCCTCGTATTTATGACGAGTTTATTTCCGACTTAACAGTATTTTTGTTACCTTCACGAAGTTTTCTAGAGTTGATAAATTCATTGATGTGACTATCTTCTAACAAAGGTTTTGCCTGCAATACAAATGAAAGTAATCTCTTCAACATGCCATTTTTATAAATCATATGACCATGTCTAGTGTATTTTTTGTATCAAGCAATCAACCAGCTATTGTATAAATAACTGTTACAGATAAAAAAATTTGCCTTATTTGTAAAGTATAAAATACAGTCGTTTATTATCCTGTTTCTATTTTGAACGAACATTAATGTTAAGGATTACTTTTAATGTCATAGTTTATTTGATTGTCTACTCTGCGGATCGCGTTTCAGTCATATAAAATAAGACGATGTGGTATGATAGCCAATGAGACAACTATCAAATAAAGAACGTAGATGATAGTAACTATATGTTGCCTCAAGGTTTTCGACAATGAGGAAACCCATACCGCCTACCATGTCGATTTCGAATAAAATCAAAAACAATGGTTGAAAAAAAAACAAAAAACAAACTAAACGTTAAATCGACAAAATTAAATAACAGGATAAAAGAATACAAATAAGTATAATGTTGCATAATATAAGATTAATTTTTGTGCTCGCTTCCAGGCAAAAATAAAAATCCTGGCAAGCCTTACTTTTCTTTCTCTTTCTAAGGCTCCTACGTGTTTTTAATCTATTTTCCGACAATTTACATATACTACATACAGTCTTGCTCAACAGGAGAGATTCTTATCCAACTAAATAACAACAAATGTTGCAAACAAAGAAAAATTTGTATACAATCTAAGCACTATGAAACTTGGTATGAATTTAAATTTGCTTTAAAGTTTTACTTGCATCTGAGTCAAATTTAGAATGAAGTTTATATTACAGTAATATAAAAAAAATGCACTCTGTAGCTGTTTATGCATTCAAAGTTCTGTAAATTGACATATAGTTGCATACAATCCTTCTTTGTATCCTTTGAAATTTCTATTATTGTAGTATTTACAAAGTGATATCGTTTGCACTTCATCTATGGGAAAGTGTTAAAATATTAATCTTATATACACAGCGTGAGATAGATACTATATTGATATTACGTATGATGACGGTATACTTTTAATATCATAATACGTTTTCCATTTATATCATCTTTTCACAAGCACTTTCTCAACAGTACTGTCAACGGGATATTTCGTACACAATTAAAAACAGTAGATCGAACTCATTTTTACAAAATATTTTGAATTTGAGTTGGTCTAGAATTTAAAGTGAAGTGAAAGAGTTTGTAAAATGCCAAATAGGCATTAGATATACAAGAAATTAATATAATTTGATGATAACTAGGTATGAACAAATTTTTTGAAATTTTTAGTGTAATGGTTTGTTTGAAACACGAGTATTATTAACCAGCGAGGTAGAAAACAAGCACGATAAACATACAAAACAACTACAAATCTACAAAACACCACACAGAACTAACTATTCAAATCTGTTTCAGAACAAGCATATTCGAAAATGCTCAATAAAAAAATAAGAAGTTGTGGTTTGATAGCCAATGAGACATCTCTCCACTGACGTAGAAATCAACACCTATATGTCACCGTACGGTCTTCAACAATGAGGCAAAAAATATACCGCATAGTAAGCTTCAAAAGGGCCTGAAAAGATAAATTTAAAACAATTCAAACGATAAAACTAACGGCCTGATTTATGTAGAAAACACAATAAACGAAAAACAGAAATGATATGTAGCAACAAACGACAACCACTGAATTACAGGTTCCTGACTTTGGATAGGCACATATAAAATGTGATGGGATTAAACATATTGGCTGACGGAAAACCCTCCCCCTAACCTTGGACAATGATGAAACAGTACAACATTAAAACAAACAATAAAATCATTTGAAAAGGGCTTAACTCATTAGATCGATACAAAACACAAAAACAAAAAACAAAAAAGCCAAAAACGATCAGTACGTATTCAACATCCTATGAATTTAGTAGTCATTTACAGTCAGTGAAAAACATGACCTTGTGCAATGACAAAATAAAGGTATGGACAGATACTAGGACCATGAATGTGCATATGTATATAACAATAGTATTTAGTTAGTTTTTAGTTTACTAATAACTAAATCAGTATTTATACCGATAAATACAATCTTCAAAGATCTAATAATCTAATAACAGTGTTGAAGTTGTAATCTTTTAGAATATGTTTGTTTAAAGGATCGATAGCCTTACTCGTATCTTATCTAAATCTACGAGCTCGGTTAACAACATCACCGTTAAAATTAGGATGTACTATCCCGTATGTAATAAGTTTTTAACAGGTATAGCCAAACTTCCAAACCTTATCTTTGTATAAATGATAAAATTGAGTAAAATTTATTAAAATATTTTACATTAATAATAGAGAACACAAGTACTTGAACTGAACTTGTAGAACCTGAACATCGATTGGAATATTGCACAGGTAGAATATATAAAGCGATGGGGAACATGTGTATGCAAAAGATACTCCACATCAATGGAGATACATTTAGAAACAGCACAGCTTTATTAATAGGGAGGAATAGAAATGCAGACAGCTGTTTTTCATCATAAAAATTGGGATATGTTATATGATTTCAAATGAGATACCTATCCACCAGAGACCAAAAGACTTTGATTTAAGTAATTATAGTTTGACGTTTACGGTCTACAACAATGAACAATATCAAATCTGTATAGCAAGCCGGAAAAGACCCTTGCATGACCAAATGTAAATCGGTTTAAAAGAGAGAAACAAAGGCCCAATTTATACACAGTCCTCAATGCTCTTCAACTTTATTTGGCCATTTTATAATTTTCGTTCTGGCGTCTGCCGTACACAATTTGAATCTCTATATCTATGGTAAGTTTTTTCTTTGATAAATATAAATAAATTGTAATCTAGTTTTTTATTTTTTAACATTGTTCATTTTGCCTTTTCGTAGCAAATGTCAATGAAGGGGAAAATTGCAAATTTATCTTAGTATATTGTAAATCCATAAAGTTAATATTCAGGAACATTTAAATGAAATCTCTGACGAAGAATTTCTGATTTCCTATTTACATGTTACATTATACCATGTTCACCACTGGATGAAAACTTCATAAAGCTGTACACCTACGTTTATGATCATTAACAAAATATTAAATAGTAACGTGACAAAATAATATTTTTTCCAAAACAATATTGAACACATGAGCATACCTCAACAAACTATATCAAAATGTATTTATTAGATCGATGGTTCTCTTTTCATACTCAAATATTCTTTTTTTTTAATTAGGTTTAAATCAAACCAAAACAATGTGTTGCATTCAAAATTAATGTACTTCAATACCATAAATGTTTAACGATTTTAAACTTGTTTTTCTAAATGAAAATTATATACAATGAACAACACAAAATCAAAAGTTTAGATGAAAAATGTATAAAAACATAGATAATTTAAGTGCCAATCTGCCTAAGAATCAGGTAGTGGTGAAAACATGACAAACAAAAATGCACTCAGCTTTACATTAATTTAGGTTCAGAATGTATAATGTTGCATGTATATAACATTCGTTTCCTTTCCCTGTTCTGGTAATTCAAGATATAATTTGGTGAAAATGCACTAGAAATTAACAATTAAGGGGAGATAACTCTGTAATTTGCTATCATTCTAACGAAAATTTATCTAGATATTTCTTGAATTACCAGACACACAGAAACGAAAGACCTACCATTTCTAATTCAGGATGAGGGTACCTTCAAAATAGGTTGGTTAGGTCGGTGGGTTTTTTTCGACCATTGAATTTTTTTCTAAATTGCCTGTATCTTACAAAGACAGGCACTTAATAACAACAAGACATTGCTTCATTACATACCATTTAGTGTAAATATTGTCAGAATTTTAAATTTTTAATCATTTATGAAGAAAAAAATGGTTAGGTGATTCATAAGAAAATGCCTGTACCAAGTCAGGAGTATGACAGTTGCTTTCCATTCGTTTGATATGTTTGAGCTTTTGATTTTGGCGTTTGATAAAGGACTTTCCGTTTTGAATTTTCTTTGGAGTTCGGTATTTTTGTTATTTTTCTTTTTTCTGAAATTGGTTAATAAGAGACTAGTTTTACATTTTACTAGGAATCTTGAGTACTTGTATTGCACTCAGCATGTGGATTGCTAATGAGACAACTATCTTCCAAAGAAAAGACCAATGCAAATATTGTTAGCATTTATAGTTTATTAGATAGCTTTCATCAATGAAAAAACTTTTATATAACAAATATATGTGAAATGAAACAAAACAGTCAGAGATTATTTAAAATCAAAAACAATACAATCAAATGAAATTTCAGCGATCTATTTACTTATTATAAACACAATTGCACCACTAACTAACAAAAAATATAACTAGCG